TATTATCAAACAGAAAAACAACATTAAAGCATCACTTGCACAGTGTTTGTGTAGTGTATGCCGGCCTTTATGGTCACACATGAATGTATCAAATCCTCTTGTTGTGTATTTATTATCAAACAGGAAAACAACATTAAAGCATCACTTGCACAGTGTTTGTGTAGTGTATGCCGGCCTTTATGGTCACACATGAATGTATCAAATCCTCTTCTTGTGTATTTATCAAACAGAAAAACAACATTAAGGCATCACTTGCACAGTGTTTTATTGTATAGTGTATGCCGGCCTTTATGGTCACACATGAATGTATCAAATCCTCTTGTTGTGTATGTATACTCAAAGAGAAAAACAACATTAAAGCATCAATTGCACAGAGGGCAGAACCACTTCTTTGCTTTGGGTTTCCCCATAAGACCCACGCACTGAAGATGGAACCACTCTACGCTACATTCTGCTCCATCGCAGCCACCCATCAGGCCATACTCGCCTTGGTTACATAAACAGTATAAGACCTCTTCATCTGCAAATTAATAGTGTTGTGTCTTAATAAATGTTGATATTAAAGACATTTTCATATTGTGTTCCTTGTTTGGTTGTCTGATACTGATTTTCATGGAAATGTGTGGTACATACCCTGACACTCGGGACAAACCCATTGCATGGGTGGAGGGTGTTTTAACCCAAGGCAGTCTAGACAGTATGTGTCGCTACATGCGGCTGAACAAGCAAGGTCTGCCTTGTTGCTGCACGCAATACAAGAACCAATAATAGCATCATCTGCAAGATAAGGAAAAAGGAACCCAAGGCATTAGAAGTGAAAATTTTAGTACATCTGAATTTTAGTACAATGAAAGTAATCAGAACACAAAAAAATATTTAATTACACTAGGGAACAACCACTAACGGATTAATATGGCAATGTGATTCTTTATGGAGACAGAGTTAATGCACTAGAACACAGAACCTGTCACACCAAGCAAGAAACAAATGTACATCATCATGGGAGTTCTGGGTAATTTTCTAATATAATAAAAAGGCACAAAACTGCAGAATGGCCCATGAAACATAATCAGGATAAAAAAAATGATATGATACAACATCTAATAATGACAAACATCTAACACAGTTCTTTAATAAGTATGTACTGTACCTTAATATGTTTTAAAATGAGCAGAATGTCTCCCACAGCAGTTATTCCAATTTCACGGATGCTCTCTTTGTTAATATCATCAAGTACATCCTCTGCAATACTTAAGAAGAAGTTAAAAAAAACATCAGATCAACTGTTAAGAAACCCTTGACCTCAGGAAGGTCCAAAATCCCCTCTTCCCCCGTCAAAAATAATTATTATTATCTTTGGCTAGAAATAAATCATTTTGAGGTTGAAAGAGGTAAAAAAAAAAAGAAATTGAAAGAAAACTAAGCATTATTTGTAAGTTGAGGTTCAATATAAAAGAATAAGTACACATACTGACATATTTATTGTTCATACATTATATATTAAATTTTAGCCAGCAATAAAGAAAATCAGACTTAATACTAGATAAAAACAATGCTTGATTATCTGTATTTTTCTGCTTTTCCATTCTAAAAGAACACCTTATATTTCCAGGCTGGTTTTGTTCTTAATAAAAAAATGTGCTTTTTTGCAAAATCTCAGCCTGGTGTTTATACTGTATTGGAATATCAGAATTTGCTCTTTCATAAAATTTTAGACACTGAAGCCTTGCAAAAAAAGCTAGGCTGAGAAGATATAACGATTAATTCTTCCAAAAAGTGTATTTGTTGTATTGTGTACTTACCGATTATCGACGAAAAGCTTAGCATACTCCTCAGCTCTGTCCTTTATTCCAGCATTTGAAAAAAAAGCTTTTCATCTAGAGTGATGAAAGTGAAATCACATATTAAACGGAATTCGCGCAACAAAAACGCGTAAATATAGTCTCTGGACAAAGGTCAAAGTGTTTTCTTTCAAATGCGATTAGGCTTAATATATAGATTTAGCCAGGGCTAAAAGCGAGGCTCCCATTAGTAAATTTATAATTTAAATTAAACAATAAACTTGTATTCGAATTCCACAATTCAGTTAACTTTAGAGCACATTTATGTGACTTTTGAGGGAAAGGCTACCTGATTTTAGAGAAAAATAATTTGCAAACAGCCCAAGAGTGAACCAAATCTTACATCGAGTTGATAGCCTCATATGTACACTCAAAAACTGGTAATCATCTTTTATCACATGTAAGAGCCGTAATGGCTATTGATCACCGTAGATCAATTAGGCTTAGAAAAAAAATCAGGCCAACGTTTTGGCGTTCGACAAGTTTACTTTGCAAAATCTTGCCACCAAATCTGGGTGCGTGTAAACCAACCTTTTATACCATGGACAGAAAGCGGTATTTCACAATACAAATTGCTCTCATTCAATATTCATAAACTGTTAAAAAAATTTTCCAAAATCACCTATACGGCCATCCGGTTCTCACTTTTGTAGTGCGAGCTGTAGCGAGTGTTTGAATGAACATTAACAGAGTTACGCTCCAAGATAATAAAGAATTTATCATGTTTATTTTTTATTTGATGGTTTAACGCGCGGCATTTTGAGAACTCCTGCAAGCGATGTTCACTGAACGACTGAAAACAATCGGCATAGCGATTAAAATTGCAAGAGAGACTACCAACAATCAATAAAAGAAATATAATTCGGTGAAACATAAACAGAGACAACAATTTTCATTCAGGAAGACAAGTATTAAAGTGTCCCTAAATATCCTGAGTCTTCAAGCTTCAAACTTAAGTTTGCTGAAGTTTATGTTTTAAGCCAGCTTCCCGGTGTTTGTTTTTTCAAAGACGAACTCGAGGCAAGAAAATCGCTCAAAGCTTTCTTTTCCGGCTAGAATTATAACTAAAGATTCTTTGGAACATTTTCTTTCTATTTGCGGTGAGAAACTGTCTAAAGGCTTTTTAAAGTTCTGTAAGATTATATCAAACCAGATACTCGGTGAGTTCGTTGTCTCAAAACTTACAAACGCGCATAAACTAAATTCCCGCATAAACAACGCTCCACTTCATTAAATTAGATACAAAAAACAAACATGAAATACAATAATTTCTCTGGCTTACCATTCGAGATGCAGCTCCTGAAAGTTATCAGGTAAAGCCAGTATCGCTTCAGACTTTGCAATCCTCTTACGCATCAAGCAAGGTGAAAACGAAAACGATGCCATCCGAAATCGGATTTCCGACTTTGACAAGCGACGTTTTCTCAACCAAAAACCCAATAAACAAACTAGCCATGAGTAACAGAAGACTCCTGATAGCAGCTGAATTTCATTTTGTACATCCAGTGGAAAAAGACAGTTAAAAACATCACAAGTTGACACAAAACTCTGACAGCTTCAGCTGTTAAAGTAAACAAGATTCAAGATGCTGCATAAATTTTGCGCATGACCTCACATGTCAAATTTTGACCAATCAGAGCATAAAAATTGGACGTAGAGCGTGACCAACGCGTGACCATTGTGAGAAAAAACAAAAGCAACTGTCTTCCCTGCCTGTAACAGCTGGCTGAATTTTCACGTCCGAGGTCAGTTTGCAATCAAAATTTTAATTGTGCAGCACATAAACACAACATATTTCATATGAATTAAGAAAAAAAATTGAACTTGAGCCTGCGATCACTTGAAAACTAGTTTACTTGTCAGCGGATAACTTCAAAAATACTTGACCTCGACGGGTCGTCACCTGAGCCCGCGATACGGTCAAGTGATACTGGTCAGCGGGTACTCTGTTTTGACAGCTGTCAATTGATCAAAACATTGATGTCCAATATGTGTGCATTAACAGTTTTCCTGTGCTCCCAAACTAGTAAAAGTATGAGTTGAACGTTGTTCGCGATCTAGTAAAACAGTTAACTGGTCAGCGGACAGCTTCCAAATAAATCACGTCACCTCGATGAGTTGACACATGAGCCCGCGATATGGTCATGGGATACTGGTCAGTGGCTATCCTGTTTGGACAGCTGTCAATTGACCATATTGTTAATGTCCAGGGGGGGGGTGATGAACTCGTCAATCGCTCCTATAGGGATCGCGCGGCGGATGATCTTGGCCATCGTGACGTCACGAGAAATTTATCCCGGGAACTTTGAATGGATTCAGCGAGCGAAATTGTTTCGTGGTTTCAAGAGGTAAAAGTCGAGACGTTGCGATGAAACGACCGAAGGTATGTGTTTATCTATTAATGCTATATAGTAAAATTGCAATATATTCTAGGAAAGAGCATTTCCATCGTAAAAAATCAAGAACTTCCCGAGATCGACCAGATGGTACAACTCATACCGGCGCGTCTTTAGAGACGCATAACTAAAGAGCCCAGCAGAATTTAGTCTCGAGAAAAACAAATGACGTTAATATGGTATGGGTCTCTCAATTAGTGATAGAAGTGAGTCATCTAATAAGTTAGCAAAAATGATCAGTGGGATAAAAGTCGAAAACCTCAGGGATGTTTACAAAAATTGCGAAAATGGCGTGGACAGGTCACGAAACATAGCGTCATGATGTTAATACTACACTATCAAATTGTGTAAACAATTCATTAAAACTAAACAAATGTAAGAAGCAAGTGTTTTTTTTTTATAGAATATGGGCTATAATCTTCAAGGGTTTTGAAAGGATTTCCTGTTTGAGTCAAACGTATCAAAATGTTAATAAAGCGTATTGAATCAAATCGTCGGGCGATAACCAAGGATATTATTATAGCTTATTGTATTGCAACTTTTCACTATAAATTACGATCATTTTGTCGAAACATTCATTGCTCATGATGGAGATAAGTTCACATTGCCTTTCTCTTTGCTTCTTCGCCCCACAAACAAGGGAAAACATGGCTTTTATCCTGTACATAGTCAAACAGAATCTATCACTGGGGTAAAGTGCCGTGAGCTAAACTTTTTGATCAACATCAACATTTTTAGGGCTTTATGCAGAGAGTCCAGGAGGAGAATCCGCAGAAAGGATGGGTATGTAGCTTTGCCTTAATCTCTTTACAGAGTTAATAGAAAAAAAACTAGAAAAAGCCAAGAAAACGGACACTGGTAAGCGTTTCAATGGTGTAACATTGAAAATGTGTTTCCTCGGGCGTCCGCATCTTAAAAATGAGGTGGGGGAAAAACTTCTAAGGATATAAAAAATTGCAGGATTTTCATGCGATGAATATCATCATCCTTCTCACACTTTTACAATATAAAAAGAGACTTCTTTAAAGATACATTTTTTTCGGTTTTCCTTTTTGTGTAGTTCAATAAAGACACCAAAGTTCAAGAACGACCATATAGTACACGAGTTCAGAAAATGACACAAGTATCAATGTATGTTTATTAGGTAATGTCAAGGCATGGGATCTACTGGGAGTGGGAGTGCAGGGGCATCAGTTTAATTTTCAATCATTGATGCTTTTTAACTTACTTGGACTCCATGCTATTGTCAGTTACATCAAGTGACACTGTCCAGTTCCAACAATCTTCGGGGCCTGCTCGTACAGTTTTATCACCCAGCTTGTACAGTTTTATCTCCCAGCTGATGTAGCTTTGTGGTAATTTCTCAGTAGGCATAACTTAGTAAAGACCCAATCATTCCATGACTATAGGTGGTCCATTATAATAGCTCTAAAGCCCCTCTTTAAAATTTGCTGTTGTACTGCCTCTGCTGATATATTTCACATAGCCTTGCCTTTTAGCTATTGGTTTAAGATTAGAAATCAGTCTTTGGATTATCCTGATAGGTTGCTTGAAGTTACAAAAATTTATAATTCAAGGGAGACATATTTTTCTACCATTGCTTGGGGGGAAGGGGGTGGTGTTTGTGGTTTAACTCACCTATATTAATGTGAGGTTTAGGGAGTAGGTGAGGAAAACCATTATAACATCTGATTTAAGAGATGCTTAACAAATAATTAGGGATTTTAAGTGATAATATTGCCTTTATTTATTTTGTTTTGTCTTTTGTATATATAAATAATCTCTTTTTATCTGACTGACTTTATAATTAGGTGCTTCCTTAGTTGGGAATACTCTGTAGATGATGAGAAAAAACAAGCAGTGTATGATGGAGGAGGTGCTGCTTACTGGATGTCTGTAAAGATCTAGTATAATAGATTCCACAAAGAGAGTCGTGCGGTGTGGGAAGTGGAGGATGTTAGATGGAGTGGATTCCATGGAGCAAGAAGAGACCATACAGGATACAAGAAATTAGAAGAACCAGTTTCCTTTTATTTTTTATATACTGAACAAATGTGTTTTCTTTCTTGCATAACCGGTCAGACTTCGACTTGTTTACATTTAAAAACTTTGCACATTGACTTTGATTAAAAGAAACGGTTTGTTATCAATAAAATTTTCTTACACTGGTGTTTTTCATTTAATTCTTCTTTAATTTTTGGTCTCTTCTAGAATCTGGTTAGCCAAGCAGTCTAGCTGCCCTGCCATTCGTTGCAGTTGGGCAGCTACCCGCTTCGCCTCTATTACTGTGTTTTTAATTTCTTTTGCTTTTTGTTTTAACCTTTCTTCTTTTCTTTTCAACTCTTTCTCTTCTCTTTCAATTTCCTTTCTCCTCAGCTCAATCTCAGTGGCTGCCAGTCAGCTCCTTACTTCCATTTCTTCTTCCAGGAATAGCTGTAAAAATCAGTAACCCACCTATAATAATCTGTCTATTATTGTTAACTTATCTTACCCCCATCTCTACGATAATAAAATATGGTGAGCTCATCCTTTAAAACAAAAAGTATCCTATCTCAACAAACTGTTGAAAGCCTTGTTTCATCAGGTATGGGGAGGGGAGGTGAGGTAGGGTAAACGCAAATAAAAATAGCCATAGGGGAATGGGGCAGGTTTCGGTGAAAAGGCCTGTTTCCATACGTGTTGACATCATTATGGTACCATTCAGCTGAGCCCTATGTGCCTTTTGTTATTTTAAGATGCCTTTTGCTTTCCCAGAAAACCATGAGATTGGGAGTCTTGCCCTATCAGCACTTGGCTGGTGTCACCAGGGGACTTCCGTAAATTTTATAAATGAGTTACAGTACTTTCTCATTTCATTTTTGTTTGTATAAAGCTTGTTTCACTCATTTGATATCTTAAAATTTGAGGTACAATCTAGGTTTAATTAATTGCTCCACACAAATAAAGATATTAATGCAAATGTATATCATCATATCTCTGGAAGTATTCCAAATGTTTCCGCCTTTTATTTGAATGGTACTTAGCTCCTCATACAGACCTGCCAACCCCTAATAAGGAAAATCTGTAGACTCATGAAAAAAAATCGGGAGATTCTACAAAAAGTAGTGAGATTCTATTTTTTCCCAATCAAATTAAAACTACCCATTTTCCATTAGTGGAATCAACTGTTTATTTTAATATAACCTTGCTTTAGTGTGGTCCCTTATGTAACAAATTAGATGCCGCTTTTTCTTTGATGACTTGAAGAGGCCAGAAAATAGGTTATCACTGTGACGAAACATACAGCAGAGTCATTTCTTTGGGCTAAGACAACTTCATGGCTAAAATAGTCAAAGCTTATCCAGGCACAAGAATTTCCCCACAAAATTTATGTTTTTATTCAACAAGGTAATATTTCAATTGAGAATATTTCCCAGAAAACCATGAGATTGGGAGTCTTGTCGTGAGACCGTGAGAAAAGTTAAAAAATCGTGAGACTCACGGCAGAATTGTGAGAGTTGGCAGGTCTGCCTCATATGACATTTTCTATTGAAACCTGTATGTAGTAGGAAGAAACTTTGTATTAAGTGGGCACTACAGCATTCTCTGCGGTGTCCGCTTACATTATACAAGTTTCACTGTACATGTTTGACTCCATTCGCACTAACTATTGATATGGAACGATATGAAATTGCTTCATGCATAACAGATGTACATGTTTGGAGTTGTATGTAAATCTTATTAATTTTTTTTTGCTATTTATGAAAACTTAATGTAAGCTTATAGGTATTACAGAGAAATATCCTTTGCTTCAACAATATGGTACAACCTTCAAGTGTTAAAAATATATATATTCCTGGTGTAATTATTATAGATACATAGTGTTGAGGGAAGTCTTTGGTTTACTTTTTGTTAAAACCGAAAAATAATTGACTTAAATTGTGCCGGGGTAACCGAGTCGAGGTCATCTCTTTATATCAATATAAGCGCACTCGAATGGACTGATCATTTTTACTGCTAATTTCTCCCATTAAACATCAAGGACAATGTTTTCCACTATTGCTGATCTACCCTTCTGCCAAGTTTCGAATTTCCACACCAAACCGATTTTCTAAGACATGCGATGTTAATATGCGATCATGCAAATTTCTGCGACAAATATTCCACTTGAAAAAATTGGCTTAAACTGTTTAGACTGTTTACGAGGTAATTATCATCAGAATATAATACAATTAACTCTCCTTCTCGGAAAGAGCTGTTGCAACTATACTTTCCCTCTATCAGAAACTACTTTAAAATTTACTTATCCCGAAAAGACGGCTTGAATAGGTGATACTATCGGCATTATTGGAGATAACAGCAAAGTAATGAACACCATTGCATCAGCTTAGAGGCTACGCTGGCACACTCGAATGGACTGATCATTTTTTCTGCAAGTTTATCTGAATTAACTTCAGAGACAATGTTTTCCAATAGAAGTAACCCACCCTTATGCCAAGTTTCGATGTTCAACACCTCACCGATTTCGAGAAAATGCGATATTACTGTGCGAACATGCAAACTTTTGCGGCACATTATTCCACTCGAGGAAATTGACCGAAACTGTTTACAGCTCTCATACGCGTTATTTTTCGGATTAATACACATTTCACTCACCTTTTCGGAAAGAGATGTTGGAATTGCACTATCCTACCGTGACAAAAACCATTTTGGAGCGTCAATATCCAGGAAAACCAACTTTAAAAGTAGCATTTGGAAATGACAACGGCGCCATTTTCGAAAACTCCTCGAAGTTGCGCGCTTCTCCCTTCGTGACGTCACGATGGCCAAGATCGTCCGGACAAACAAACCACCAAGTTCACCACCCCCCCCTGGTTAATGTCCTATATTAAAGATGTGGGCTTGCCAAGACACGCCTGAGACACCCCTCCCTTCCTTTTGATAGTCTCCCCTACCCCACCCATACAATCTGTAGACGCGTACGTACGTACGTACGCTCGGTCAATCACGTGACAACCAAACGAAAAGAGGTTGACCATATTCCATGGGTAAGGGGCTCTGTCCCACGCGCGCTTCGCGCGCGCGGGAGCCCCGCTATCAATGGATGCATTCATTTACATAAGGATATAAAAGGATTGTTGACACTTACTTCGTCACGCTATCCTCTCTGGTAGCCATGTTGGTCGCTGCTTGTGAGGAATGCACCCAGAATCCTTTGCACACAGTCTCCTCGTGAGCGCTTTGTTTTTGAAAATTCCCCCGGGGTTTCCCGGGGGTATTTTAGGTCAGGCAAATTTGAGGTAAAGTCCCTGGGGGTCTGGGCATAAAATCATCGCAAAGCTGCAGTAATTCCCCCGCTATTGCCCGACAAAGTCCCCAAATGTCGCGGGGGTGGGGGGCGGAGGAAACAAATGACTAGTGCATTACCTTTTTAAAATAACAGCGGAAATCGAGATAAGAAAACATAAGCTAATGTTTTGCGTCCTACTTCGCGGAGGAGTTGTGTCGACTTTGTATGAATGCGTTTACTTGTCAGTAGCCTGGTTTCAATTAGCCTTAATTTCATCCCATTGCTTCGAGTCGTTTTTATGGCTCGATCGTTTGCCCCGGTCGTTTGCCGGCGGAAGTTCCATGAAAAAGGTATTAAATTTGAGACTTTTGGCCAGATCACGTGACCATCCTCAATGGCGTAGTGGCTATGTGAGGTCGGGTCAAACCGAAGGTACTGGGATCAAATCCCGCTAATGACCTTCTTTTTCCCTTCTTCCTTTTTCTTCTTTTTTGTTTCGTCTTGTTTGCTTATTTGTTTTGCTGTTTTTTTTTTTGTTTTGTTTTTAAATATATACTTAAATAACTGTTGCTAAAGTGCAATAAACAGCAAGAAAAGTATTGTGTTTCCAGAACAAGGATAGTATATTTATAATATGAATTTCTATCATTTTCTAAAATTCACTGTGGGAAAACCAGAGGTGATAACTAATTGATTATTTTCTAAACAACGTACCCACGAGTTGACGATAGTCTTTCTTTGATTGTTTTTCGAAGTCACGAAAGTTGAGATCACGTGACTTTCCTACCCCCGTTATCGACTGGGGCTAGTTTCTTTCTGGAAGAAGGAAACAATATGGCGGAACGTAGCGAAAAAGGAAGTTTCCGTCAGCTTTCTGAGTCCTCTGCAGGCTAGGCTGCCGAGCGGGGAGCCTCATGGTTACGGAAATATAAACGGTAGAACTCTACACTTATGAGAAAAAAGACTTGATTATGTTTTGTTGGGGCAAAATCGCTGAAGGACAGCCTGGATTAGGGGAAACGGAAGACGAGCCAGTCTTGACACCGCGAAATGTCGATGTCAGTTTTGGCTCGCTATCAGAGGTTAAAGACATTGCGTGTGGCTGGGAGCACACAGCTGTTTTAAAAAACGACGGTGTTGTTTACACCTGTGGTAACAGAGAAAATGGACAACTTGGACATCACAGAGAAGGAAATAAATTAGGTCAGTATACAATGTAATTTCTAGAAGTACGTTGTTTACAGTGTAGGGGACGTTTCAGTGTTTAATTAGAATATTTACAGCGCAGTGAGAAATTTTGATTTTTTGAAGTATTGCGAAATTAGCTTAAGTGATAATTTGAACAGCAAATAACTAGAAATTAGTGTGCACTGTTACCCAACAGAAAAACGGACAATTATTGTTTTAATACATTGATCAAATATTTTTACACATAGGTACTTGCAGAAATTGGTTATGACGATAAGAATGGTCAGTAAATTTTTACTAAACGTTCGTGCACGATATTAAACGCCTAACCCGTCAGTTCGACCAGTCCCAACAGTGATGAGTATCAGTTTTCTTCATAGAATTCAAAACATATATAGTCAAGAGAAAATATTATATTCGAGAATTGGCAAAAGGTCAACAGGGGAAAATGTTTTGATCTTTTATCAAATTCTCTTAATTAATCCATTAAGAGAAAAATGTATGGAGATCATTTTGGAGAATATGTGTGTGGATTTCAGGTCCTGAGGGAAACATTTAGTTTTGTTTCCTGAGAATTACAATGTTAAAAACATTATTTCTAGGGAAACAAACTTAACTAGTTTGTAGCCAGGGACCAGTAATTAAATGATTTGTTTTGTAAGTTGTAAATGCTTGAATAGGCAGTCTAGCCAAAACTTAAATGCAAGTCCTCCTATAATCTCCGATCCATCTTGGGTATTTTATTACAGCCAACCAAAGGTAAGATGCTAGAAAAACTGGGCAAGCCTGCATTTCAGGCGGCAGCGCCACGTTTATGGAATGAGCTGCCTTTACAACTTATAAAAAAAAATTCTCTGGAAATCTTAAGAACTTAACCAGGACATTCCTTTTTAGACAGATTTTTCGAGAAGTGAATTATCATTATGTGATTTTAATACTAGTTATGAGTTATTATATTATTAGGCATGTGTTTATTTTTTATGATCAGCTTTACGGTTGACTATTTTCATATTTCATAGATATTTGAACAATAATATTAATTAGTATTACTGATCTGTATATGTAAATAGCACTATAGCATTCTCTTGTGATTTTTTCACACTTGTTTATTGAACACAAATTTATTGTTTGATTTGTTCTACAGCTCGGGTTGATTCCCTTGAGACTTGGACCATTAAACAAGTAGCCTGTGGACAGATGCACACTTTAGCTGTCACTAACAAAGGACTTGTCTTTGCTTGGGGTGACAACACCAAAGGACAGCTTGGTCTTGGAAGTTCAGATACCACCTCTCATAAACATCCAAGGTGCATTGTGAATCATTTTTTTTGTTCATGCATTTGCTTGTAGTTTTTCAGGCCCCCTTGCTTCCTTTTGAACCTTAGCAAAGCAATTAAAATATTTGGAGGGGGTGGGGGGTGTGTGGAGTTGGGTTTGCGAGGTATGTTGTGGAACTCATGGTATACTTTTGAAAGAATCTCCCCTGCCCTGCCCTGACCTGCCCGACAGTTACATTTTTGTTAACAATTTAAACTGTCAAATTGAAATCATAATAATCTCATTGTTCACTCACCTGAGAAAGAGATATCACTTTTGACTTTACTTATGTTCAATATATATTTAATGCACAGGGTGTATTATTTTATAATTATAATATTGCATCACTCAAGATATGTCAATATACAGTGCTGGCCAACAGTATTTTGTTTCTTGGTTTTAAACTCACAAACTTTAAACCTAGGGCTGAATACATGTAATTCCATTCTAGCTTTAGAGACCTCTCACCCACAGAATTTCCAACAACTGAGTTGGGAGTATTGATAATTGCTTGAGAGAGGTGACAGGGTTTTTCTTAATCTGGTCATTGTTAAAATTAACAATTTAAATAAATATAGCTGAAAAGCATCACTTGTATCAACAGCGTTCATTGCTGTTTTTTATTGTCTAGAATTGTCAAGCATCTCCAGACAAATAGTTTAATGGTGACACAGGTGGCCTGCGGAGCAAGACATTCCCTAGCGCTCACAACAGGTTATACATGTAGTCCTTATTCCTGTACAAAAATTGTATCTTCCTTTGTAACTGCCAAGGACACTGGGAGTGAGAAACTCTCAGAGCCATTTTAACCTTTTGTCGTTGTCCTCGACTCATATACATAAGACAAAACACCTAGTACATTGTACTGTTATCATCGGTGTCCATCACAGAGAGAGTATGAAATTTATGCAGCATGAATAATGCTACTCGTGCATGTATAGCCCTTGAAGACGTCCATGTAAACATTGGTTACAACATAATTTTCTACAAACATGTACAGGTGTAGCTTGTGTGCATTATTTATATATTATTGTCCATATTAAGCCTTATTATGTGTGTAGTTTATTCATGGTATTGTTACATCTTTTAGGTGGATATTTGTTTGCTTGGGGTGACAATAGAAATGGCCAGCTTGGTATTGGCAATTCAAGTCTCGTACATAACCTCCCAGAACATGTTTCTTCTTTGGTTGGTGTGCCGTTTGCCTTGTTATGTGCTGGTGGCTATCACAGCTTTGCATTGTCTCTTTCTGGAGCTCTCTTCAGCTGGGGAAGAAACAAGTATGTTTGCTTGGCTGACTCTACCTTTGTACTTATGGTACTTTGGCCTGGTAATGCAGTCCAAGTCTTCACTCAAAATTCATTTGTCATTGTGAAAGAGTCATTTTAGAATGCTATACACTGCATGCCATAATGGAAAAAAAGCATTATTATGAGTTAAACAGTAAAAAATTTAAAATGTTTATTTCATTAATTAAATTAATATGTATTTATTCATATTCACTGATTATCTATTTTTTCAGCTTTGGTCAACTTGGTGTAAATGATGATAAAGGTAAGATTTATATAATGTCAAATTATTACTTTGATCCACCTAATGCAAAATATACAAGGGTATCATAATGAATATACCATACTTATAACTGTTATTATACATAAACAAAGCTTAATTCAGAACTAAAATAAAATATTATTCTAAAGTAAAGCTCATCATTTTGGCATCATCTTGCCGTGTGTTCCTTTCAGATCGTTTCATGCCAGTGCTTGTTAAGTCTTTACGATCCCAACGAGTAAGACATGTAGCTGCAGGGGAGTATCATACTGCAGTTCTAACGGAGGTCAGTACACAAAAAGAAGCTTGTTCCTTACAGCATTGATCACAGTTTTCTCACCTTATGTTGGCTTTCCAAAAGTAAATGTTCAATTTTTGTGGAGAGTACCTTGGTTTAATCATAGTCTCTCCAAATGGAGTTCGTTGGAGAAACTATGGTTTAATTGATTAAACTGAATTGACGCTTTCACTCGTAATAGAACTGTTAAAGTTAAAATTCACCAAAAAATCCAAATATCTTTTTGTGAAATTCTACCAAGTAATTTAGTGTCAAACTCAGAAAACAGTGAAAACCTGAAGAATTTCAGGAATGTTGATTATGTCATGTCCAATCACAGCAAAGTTCATCACACACAAGTAAACCTCAAAACCGCAAACTAATTATTACTGTTACTTTGTTGCAGTTTAGTTTTCTCATGCCTTATTGAGTTTTCCCTCGCAACACAACATTCCATAAATATTTCTGGTTTTCATGGTTTTGTGAGTGTCACAGATTTAGTACTGTGTTAAAGTTTTACCAAAGAGGATTTTGTTTGAGGAGACACCGTAACTTTCTGTCTACAGATTCCAAGGTTAGAGTGACAAATCAAGGCATCAAAATGTCAAGTTTCTTTGATTGATTTTTGTTTAAAAAGTACTTCCAAATCAATTCTTATAAAGCCATTGCCAGCACAAACTTGAAGGTCATGAAAATGACTCAGGAATTCATCAGGTTGCTAAGGAAATCTTGATTAAATTATGAATAACTTTTTCTTGACTGAGTTTTGAACAAATTCTCCTCATCAGTACCATAATAAGGAATGTTAGGGAGAACAGTGTGGGAGTTTTATATGGACGATTACAGTGCGGTTATATCTTTATTAAAAATGAATTCATTATATGTACTTAATTTTATAGGATGGAGGTGTATTCACGTGTGGGTGTGGCAGCTATGGCCAACTTGGACATAACTCTAACAATCATGAGTATAACCCTAGAAAGGTGATGATCATCAGTACTGTATTGAGTATCAGTTCATTGTAGATTAACTCTCTAAGTCCCAATAGTGACCAACATCAATTTTCTCCGAACAATATCCATACAATTTCAAGAGATTAGGTTATTAGAATTAATAAAATGATCACCTGAGAGAAAACACTTTGATCTTTTATCAAATTCTCTCAACTCATTCTTTAAGAAAATGTATAGAGAACAGTTTGGAGAATTTGTACATGTATATTGGGGCTTAAAGGGTTAAAATAAAAGTCCCTCAACTGTAGATGCCCCTCTTGGAAAATTAACAGTTCCTGCTGTTTTCCTTACAAAAGTATTTGGAGTAAGGTCCGCCTTGCTAGCCAGTAAGAGAAAAAAGGAAAAGTGAAGAGAATGTTAAACAAACAAACAAACAAAAAATAAATACACACACACAGGCAGATGGGCCCACATCTGACTGAAGCCTTATGTTATCTGGACACATGATATTATTACTGTTCCTGTCCTTTATAGGTATTTGAGCTGATGGGAAAAGCTGTGACCCAAATTGCTTGTGGAAGGTATATTTGCACTGTGCTTGATCAATTCACCTTGCATTTTGTCTTAAACTTGATGGATGAAATGTACATGATTTTACATGTATATGTACATAGTAGAAAACTTGCTAGTTTTGTATTTTACATATAAAAAACGATTGGTTCAGTAGTACAGCTGTAACTTGTGTAAAGCACTAATACAAAATTTTCTTTTCGCTTTTTGTTGTTGAAGGTTGCATACACTGGCTTATGTTGCTTCATCAGGAAAACTGTACTCTTTTGGTGCAGGAGAGAATGGACAACTGGGAAACAACAGATTGTCGAGTGTCAATAGTCCTGTTCTTGTTCATAGCAGCTGGCATGTTGACACTACTGATGGAAGTAAATCAACACAACAGTCTGTGATACACAGAATTGCTGCAGGGGGAGACTTCTGTTATTTACTTGCACCAAGAAATGTTAGTAATTTATTATTACTGATTTGTAAAGATAGAATTAAAGAAGATATATAAAGCCGAGCCTAAAAAATATTTTTTACTGTGAATTACTCAGAAAACTGTGAAAACCAGAAATATTTCCTTACAAAAAAAAAAGGTTTAAAAGGTTGATGGTTTGTTTAAAGTGGAAAGTGAACTTAGCTTATCCAGGTAGTTTATGGTCAGTCCATTCAAGTAATCATAAACAATAACACTAAACACTTAATGACTGGTTCCAAGGGAAACAGTTAATTTTTTTTCCCATGAATCTCAATTTTTCCCGAGGTGGAGCTGAGGGGCTAGTCTTAAGTGAGTTGTTATATAGCTGGAAATTTTGAAGCTGGAAATTCACTCAACCTCTCAGTGGTCGTCAGTCAACATTTGCAGGGAACAGTGCACTGTTACCCTCTGACGTCATTGATTTTGCAATGTTGCCTGCTAAGAGATTATGGCGGGAAAGAGTTTCAGTGTTAGATTTCATGTGACCTCATAGTAACCAATGAGAGTGTGCACTGTTGGGAAAAAATTTCTAGCCATATAACAAATAATCATATATAACATATATAACAGTATTAAAAACTCCAACTGGTAGGAGGCAACCAGTTGGCAATTTACAAGTATGCTGCTGAGGATTTGAACTCTGCCTGACCGAGAATGCTGAATGCAGTTAGAGGTCAGAGTTGGACTCAAACTGGACCTGGGATCATGGGATTGCGAGTCCAACATGCTTGCCACTCAGCCACGCTGCCTCCCTCTGTGATAAAACTGGACCTAAGGATGGTTTTTTTTACTGTGAATTACTCAGAAACCTGTGCAGACTAGAAATGTTTCTGTAATGTTATTGTGTGCCACGCAGGCCAGCATGAGAACACTGCCAAACTCCAAGCTGACCAGAACTTTGCCTGTAAAATTGTTGGCGGGGCCCAGAGATACGACCATGTAACTCCCATTCTCAGGCAACTCATTGGCTCCCAGTAAACAACACCTGTACTATCGCGATTTATTTATGGCATTTAAATGAGTGAACTACTTTGTACCAGAGTGTCTACACTGTATCTGATCAGTTTTTTAAGCGCTCATCTACATCAACCCTCAGAACTAGAAACTCACAGTTGTTAAATATTCCTTTATTTAGATCTGCACCTGGCCAAATAACTTTTTCTTATAGAATAGTTTCTCTCTGTAACGTTCTGCCGCAAAATATCTAGTTAAGTCAATCGTTAACGCAATTTAAGAATATGATGAGAAAAAGACTTCTAACGGGCTCTAATAGAACACAGCCAGGACAAGAACCCAATAATAAATAGTTTAATCATTAGGTACTTAATTAATCTAACTTCTTGTATTTTAATTTTTAGACACGTAGAACTTCTTGTGTTTTGTTTTATTTCATGCCATTCGATTTTGTCAAATATTTCACTGAAAAACCCTGTGGGGACGTGAAAGAAATGTCTGTATATACGTATGTAACACTTACCTGAACGTATTTTGGATTCTTAAACAGGGCAGCAACTGTGTATCATGTGATTTTCGAGAGCCAGACACTTCTAAGCACCTCTGGACTTTGTCTGAACCTGACTGCAGGAAAATGGTTGACCTCTTTTCTGTGGGAAATCCATCTGCAGAAGCATTGCAGTAAGTTTGTTTTTCAAATTTATGGCTATGACAGTTAAATTTCCACATACCAATACTATTCACGGGCACCTTAGGACAGTTTACTCCTAAATACATTGAAAACACTTTTTAGGTTAACCAGAGAACCTTTAGACCACTAGAAATACATTCTAAGCGGCGCTATAAAATTAATTTTTGTTCGGTTATCCTAGGGGAACTTGAGTTTTTTTTCGAAATTACAAGGGCTTCAGCCCTATTTTCCTAAAAATTGTAGGTGCAATTTAATGTTTTACGAAATTGAGGATTTTTTTATTCCTCTCTCCATTACATTTTCTCTCTTCACAGAAAGTTGGAGACAGTTTTTTCATCCAACGCTTGCATGTGTGGCTCGTTTCTGGACGGGTAATTAACTCTTAATGTAGTCTAAGCTTAACCTGTGAACTTAGTTGTATGTACGAATTGTTTAGTCACTTTTTAGGCTCAATAGGCCATTTGCACGGTGACGTCATTTTACTACTACGACCAGAATCCTTCAGAGTTTTACTTTCTAGTGCAAATTAGGGATTTCGTTATTTTGAAATCTCGCTGGGATTTCCAAATTTAAATATGAAAGAAAAAGCGAAAAGTATTCTGGTCGTAGTAGTAAAATGGCGCCATCGTGTAAATGGCCTATTTTCGCCTCTCTCTCGGGTCTGGGGCCCGTTTCTCGAAAGTCCCGGTAACTTTTCGGGCCCGAAAGAAATCAAATATTCAAATCGAAATATAAAGAATAAGAGCGCGGGTCCTGGCCAGGAGACTAATCCATTTTGTTTCACTAACTGATGGTTTTATCATGCTAGATGCAAAACTATTGAAACCTCAATCTTTAATGTAAACGGAGACAGCTTACCGGGCCCGTTAATTATCGGGACTTTCAGGTCCTGTTGAAACCTGCACAGGCTTTGTGTTTTAAAAATCCCCGAAAACGCTAGAATATGTCAACATTGTTTTATTGAGGGCGAATTACACTTCATCTTTGACTGTAGCCTGTTCCAGGCGTTCAGATAGTGGGGAGCGGCCAGGCGTTCAGATAGTGGGGAGCGGTGCGAAGTAAAAAGGAGCGCGAAAAAATAAAAGCGAGGGACGGGGAGAGGTGAGAGAGGAAACGCCTGTAAAATTTGTTTTAATTAGACTCTTCCGCCCACTCAGACCGCATCAGCTGTAGGTGGTCTTCACTTATCAATCAAGACTGGTGTTACAGCCCCATACATTTATTATTTTTCTTGTGAATAAATCGAAATTTCTCAGACCAAAAATTAATATTATGTATACATAATATTACTAAAAACCTAATGTAAGACTTTCAGACAATAGAGAGCGGGAGAAGTACTCATGTACAATGAATTTATTTTCGGCTTTAAAACAGTCCCCCTCTACTTTTCATCGCTTTCTTCACTTCGCACCGCTCTCCACTATCTGAACGCTTGGAACAGGCTACTTTGATTGTAGTCTCCACAACCGCGCAGCCGGGCTACCCTTTTTTTATGTTAGGGTCACCGACCTAGCCGGGCCAGCTTTTCTACATATAAACACTTTGCTTTGCCAAGGAAGGTCACAACTCGTTCAAGGCGAGACAATCAGAGCTTGCGCGAGTGCTGTTTTAGACAACAGGAAGCTTAAGCAATGACGACGGCGACGGCAACGAGAACAGCAAAAAGGCAATAGATTAGATTAGCAAAACAACAACTTTGCACCTCCATCAAGCTTTTTTGTACGTTTCTTAGCCGTCGTTGCACGACTACAACGTGAAAGTGCCTAATTTCACGTTTGGTCGAGGACCGGAATACAAGACAACATGCAACTTTCCTTTTCTTTTCCTGAACTTTGATACAGTCCTTTAGAATTCAACTCCAAAACAATTTGCCCACATATGACACCTTAAACGAGATGGAATAAGCGCGATAAAGTTTGAGGCAGCGCGAATTCACTTTTTAAGTGACGTTTTTGTAGCCGTCGCCGTCGTTTTTGCTTAAGCTCCCAAATCAGAGTGTTACTGAGTGCTGTTGTCTCGGGCAAATGGGTCAACTATTTTTTTCTCATGTAACCGCTTGCTTAAGCCGACTCTGCTGGGAGAGTGACCCTTCCTTCCGGGACAGGCTTTCTGCATTTAAACGGGGTCTAAGAATTCAAGGAAACTGGCCTGACTGGCCAGCACCAAGCACTAGAGATAAGTCTTAGCCCGGTTTGCCGTCTGTTTTGACTTGAAAGGATTTAGGTTTAGGCTATTGTTGTTTCTTTGTCTAACTTTTCAGACGAAACCATGAACAAACAAGTTCCAAAGTGCATGGAATAAATTTGGCATCAGCAAGAAGATGTTTTAGTATGCTCAACTTCATGCCACATCAGTTGGTCGCAAGTAAGGTAATTGCAGATGACCACCACATTGACATTTCATGGCTGGCCTTCATGTTAGCATGTTAATAAAGAGCTTTAGATTCTAAGACGAGGACGACTACCAGAACTAGATTATCCCAATACTAGAGTAAGTAGTGCGCGCGTGCGAACCAACGTCATTTTGGCGGGAAAATGTGATGGCCATCGTAGCCATCGTCATTCTACTACGAGTTTTAGCGAGAATGTCGTAGTGGCGAAAACAAGTTATCAAATGTTAGGAATTTAGGTTTATCGTTTAGCGATCGGGAGAGGGCTTTACCTCCTTCAACGGAAATAAACGAACTAACTGTTGTGATGAAAAAAGTACAATGGTGCTTTCCGAGGTGTCTATTTTTAGAGAATAGGCGAGAAAACTTAAAGTTAAATGTCGCCCTCGTAGTCGTCTTCGTCCGCGAATCTAAAGCTCTCTTATAAGTAGGGCTTCTAAGACAACTAATACATAAATTCATGACCTTGGTGTCATCGTTGTGAGTTGGGTCAATTGGGAGTTTACGCAACTACGATGACGACGGCAGTGAAAACGTCAGTAATGATAATTGATTTATTCACCTTCTTTCTTTTTGTCACTGGTGTAGGCGAATTTCAAGATACAACATTCAAGATAACTAATTTAAGAAAAAAATTCGTCGTCGTTCGTTTACGTCCCCCATAAACTGTGAAAGTAGGCATTTTCAAAAAAAAGGGTGATGCACGTGCGGAGTTGTTGATTTTCTCAGAGAACCTATTGTTTTTTCTTTTCTTTTCCTTGAAATCGTTGTCGTGGCTGGGTAAACTCCTTAATACCGGGCTTAAGCAAGCACGGCGTCCACAGCACTGAAAACGGCCTTGGAAAAAAATCGCATTATTTAGACTTGCTCATTTTGTCTAATGTGGGCGATTTTTCCTACTTTTGAATTATTGAGGGCTGTTTCCAGGTTCAAAGAAAGAAAGGAAAATTCGTCGTCATGCGTTCACTTTCTTCGTAAAACGTTGTAGAATTCATGTCATAGTACGAAAAAGCGTGATGCACGTGCACGGCTGTTGTTTTGCTCCTAAGACTTTCTATTATTATTATTTTTTCTACGTTGTCGTTGGTTTCTTCGTGGTATTCGCGTGAACTCCTTGATATTGACGTTGATGGGTGGGGTAAGGTGATTTGCTCACTGACGTGGCAGCAGAGTCCATGATGTCCAGTCTTTTCTATTCCTTCTCAACCACTGGCTGCCAAGGGAAGTGGGGGGAGGGGTGGATTTGCCTTGTCATTTGTCTTCTTCCCTTTCTCTGTGTTTTCCTAATCTTCCATCCTTGCAGTGCTTTCTCTTTCCTTTTCTCCTTTTCTCCCTTTATTCTCTTCTCATGCCACTTCCTTCGTTTCTGCCACGGTGGTTTCATCTTAGGATTTACATGTATCATTTTTTTATTATTGTTTTCTTTCATCTCCCAATACCTTTGTGTTCGTTTGTTTTCAGATGTTTAACGCAATAAAGCAAGGTGTCGTTCACTCCCTACAGCAGCCTCCTCCTGATATCGAGGCTCTGAGGGTGTATTTGCTGCTGCCAGAATTTTCCATTTATCAAAAGGAAGAACAGTACGACGCAATTGTTATTCCATTTGGTGAAGCCATCCTGAGATTATCAGTTGATGCAGGCAAAGTGTTAAGTGAGTATGAAGAGCCTTACCGTATTTATTCGAATAAGCGCCCAACCTCGAATTAGCGCCCACCTCGAATAAGCGCCCATCCTAAAGGCAGAAAAAGTTAATTAGCGCCCACACCACCCCACCTCCCAATCAAACTCAAATAAGCGCTCACCTCACCCCCACCCCACCCTTTTGAGTGAATATATTCTAATTAGAGACTTCCCCGAGGACGGAGTTTTCTTCAGAGTATTATACAGAAACCTTGCTTTGTTACTTCTTCGCGTTTTGTTATTAGCATTTATTGTTTTGTTGCAAAATAAACATACTTCACTTGCTACAAATGGTAAAAATTTAATAAGCGCCCACCTCGAATAAGCGCCCACTCTCAAGGTCCAAAAATTTAATAAGCGCCCAGGGCGATTAATCGAATAAATACGGTATGCCTCATTCGCGCCAACTAAATATGCTTAAAGGAGCTGTGTCACGAAATTTAGCCGAATTAGGAAATTACAAAATGCTGGTTAAATTAAGAGAAACATAAAAATAACTGCTTAAAACTTTAAAGGATGGTTAAAATAACATAACAGAAACAACAGATGTCACGGATGGGCAAAACTGAAGAAGATTTTAACGGACTGAAATTAGGGTTTTTGAAAACTGTTCAGCCTAACAGTTTTTACCGGGGCCTAGCCGAAGGCTGGCACCGGTCATAAAATGCAACGCGTTTCTGTCTTTTCAAAGTTACATTGTTAGGGATATATCGCTGACTAAGATATATCGCTGGCTCGTTACTTTTGGGAGTGTACGCTGAGATATATCGCTGGTTTATTGAAATCGTATCCGCCATTTTGAAAAGCGGGTGTCTAGAAAACGACGGGTTATGGAGGAGAGTAAAGAGAAAGATTATAGCTTTTTGGGAACGACACGTTTCCCAACCTTTACGATGTACTAGTTTATGAGCGAAAACTTGAGAGTGAATATTTGGAGAGACAAATTTACGAGCGATCGCTTAAGAGTGAACCTTCCATCGTGAAACTTATTGAGTGAACCTTCCATCATGAAATTTATCGAGAATCAATGCGAACACTTATCAAAGCTAACTTTATATCATCTTTAAAAACGTGTTTCACATAACCTTTGTCACGCAATATTTACGTTAGCGACATGCGAAAACTCTCAACTGTTCAAAATGGGGGATTACCTAACATTTTCTCTTTTCACATTATTCATTACACCTTGTTTTCATCTCTAAAGAATATTTGCAATAAAAAAGATTTTCATGTCGCCCGACAAACTTGTTGATGAAAACGACCCTTCCACGTGGGTTGCCAAGACAAAAGTGGCCCCGGTAAAATTCGCGAAGTGATTCTTGTTCAAAGTTGATCCCTGCTGCTTGCAGCTTCAAGAATAATGCTCAGGAGACATATTTGTTTGTCACGGATCTCTGATTTTGTCACTTACATGTAATTTCTTTTCCTACTTTAAGTTCCATAGCGATTGAGGGCGAGTAATTGGCAAAATTAAACAAAATGAACTGGACTGCCGTGACACAGCCCCTTTAATTAAACTAGGTTTAATAAAAAAAATGAAAAACAGGTACGGAAAAAACACAGTCTTTTACACAAAATTCCAATGAACTTTGACATATTACATAACTGCAATAAAAGTATAGTAAACAACTTTTAGAAAGAAAACAAATTTAAACCGTTTTAACCAAACAGCGTTTAAGCATGTTTAAGCTTTGGTGTGAATGGGGAGGCTTTTGTACAGTATGCTAGCATTTTTTCGAGCATTTTAGTGAGGCAAAAGCATTGAGCATTTTAGTGGCATTTTCCCCGGAAAATTAGTTTTACTTGAAAATAAAATAGAAAGTAACTTTTTTCAGGGGCCCATGCCCCACGAGCTCCTGCGCTTTTAAAGAAAATGAAGACTAAAACTCAAAATTCACAAAAAACCTAATACAGCTGTTTTTTTGGCTGTATTTATGAACTTGTACACGTTGTCGTTGTTACTTGCAACACTTGAACGTTTTTGTGAGTGTAAACTTTGAAATTAATTAAAAAAAACCGTTTGTATAATGGGCATTATCCGAGCATTTTAGTGACTTTTTTGGGGAGACCGAGCATTTTAGTGGGAAAAATGGAGCACTAAGGTGGAGCATTTTAGAGGGGAAGCAAAAGCGTAATGTACAAAAGCCTACATAAGTGACACTGCTCATTGTTTGACAGCGATTTTTCATATGTTCTTGAAACGATAGAAAAGACACGCTAAAATTTGTGAAATTATGGGATTGGTTAGCATATTCAGAAACAAAAACATGAAAAAAGGCCCATGCCAAAATTAAGACTGTTTGTGCAAACGGGTGGGAATAACTCCATACAAATCTTTCTAAAATTGGCTTGGATCGTAGCAGGCCAATTTTGGAAGGATTTGGATGGAGTCATCGGAGCATAACAGTGCTTATACTGATCTTCCCACCTGTTTGCACTAACAGGCTGAGTTTTGGCATGGGGACTTTCTTTGTCTTGTTGTTTCAGAATATGCTGACCAATCCAGTAATTTTACAATTTTTTTTTGTGTGACGTAATCACTTCTCATCTCTATTACGCACGAACAATACAAGAAACTAGCGTAACGTGGCCGATGGAACGAATGCAAACGCGCGTGCCTTTTGTTTGGTTCAGCGAACTTTCTCGATTCTCCATGATATTATTTTGCAATAATATTGAACAATCGAACGATGCTTTGATCATCTATGTATTTTTTTTCAGGACGATGGTGGTCCACATTACCCTCAACATATTTTTCCCACACAATGAAGGTTTGAGTATTTCAAATAACGTGTTTGTGTTGACGTTAGCATGATATTTCACTGAATGAGGAAGGTTTTGGTTACAACACCCTACAAACAGAGCCTCCTCCTTTTGCCTTTTTGAGTGAGGAGGAGAAAAGGAGGCTCTACCTGAATCGCGTCAAACCTTTGAAGTCACCGCAACTCAAACTTCTGAACAAATCAATCTTTTGTCAAACAGGGTTATTCGAGTGCGAGTACGCGCTATTTGAGAAACCGATGGTCACAACCGAGCCAGCTGTAGCAAGTGCTCGGCTATTATACCTAAACTATTTCCTAGCAAAATACCGCGCATGCTCAACAAAGATCTTGTTTGATTCATGCAGAGTCTTTCTGAAACATCTTTTTTCTCACCCTGCGAGCAAAGCCTCCCTTTGTCTTCTTGGGTTAGGAGGGGAAATGGAGGCTCTACCTAAATCGCGTCCAACCTTTGCTGAAGTCGCCGCAGGCCAATCATCTGGACTAGTCAACCTTGTTTTCTCTCGTCAAACTGTTATTTTTTTCCGAATGCGAGCATAGGTTTATTGATAAACCGATAGTCATAACCGAGCCTGCTGTAGCAAGCATACGGCTTTTAGGCCTGGGCTCGAAACTATATCCTAGCAACATGCGACGCATACTCAACAAAGATCTTATTTGATTCATGCAGTCTTTCTCAAGCATCTTGTTTCTCACCCTGCGAGCAGAGCCTCCTCCTTTTGTCTTTCTTAATGAGGAGGAGAAGAGGAGGCTCCGCTGAATTGCATCAAACCTTTGAGGTCGCCGCAGCCCGAACCGATCACTCAGTGAGTTTATAGTGAGATTCAATATTCATCTGATCAATGCCATTCACTTATCTTTTACATCCAGTTCGCCTCCGATTTATCAAGTTCATCAAAACTATTCTAATCCAGCTACACTGCATTAGTTGGTCCGCCAGTTGCCATATTTTGATTCCGTGAGTTACAAGGTCCACCGTTTTATACCGACCGGTCAATACTAACCCGTAGTTTTCTGTGTTTTATTTTAGATGTTTCAAGACTGTGTTAAGTACTTACTTCATTTCCCTCTTCCAAAGTCGAAGGATGAGGTAATTTAGTATTCCTGTTGATTATTATGTTAAGATTACCAACATATCACGGTGAACAACTACTGAACACTGCAAAATAGTGGTGTGAACCCATGGGTTTGAACCGACGATAGACTATTCCAAGCCCAAGTTGGTGACTTTGTTTTCAAGATTGAGGGAATGGTCTATTGACACTTATGAGAAAACTAATAGACCTTTATCACGCGTCGTAAAAGCAAATAATTTTTACTTGTCTAGACTAGTTTATGTATAGTTTTGACGATAATTTAACGTTAAGATTAATGTGGTAAAAAATTTGCTTTTCAGGCAATACGACGGCAAGCAGGACTGGCAAATTGTTTAGGGGTCTTGGAGCAACTTCATCTGGTAAGTTCAAAACCGATTCGCCCGAAGTCCGTAGCTAACGTTTGATTATTAAAGTTGGCTCTTCGCTGTACAAGTCCCCTACTGGAGAAAAATATTAATGTCTCCTTCGTATCAATCAGGTCATTTGCCCCAGCCGCATGAATGTCTAGCAACTTGCAGGTATCATTGAAAGGTGTATCTTTATCGTCGTTTGTTATTATTAAGACCGTAAGCACCGGTCCTGATTCAGAAGAGAACCTGTAGCCTGAATTTCAGACATTCCTTCCAGTCGCATACTCCTCTCACGCTTCCTCTCACTCGTGAGAGAGTGCGATTCGAGGGTATGTCAGAAATTCAGGCTAGTAGAAATGGCCCCTACACAATGTTTTTATTCTCCATCGTATGGGAAGCCAACCATAATCAGTCGTCCTTAAGCAAAGTATCGCAATCAAAACATCAGGGACTTTAAGGTGGCTCGATACAGTTTTTTAGGGACAATACCTCCCAAGTTTGAGCATAAACTACATCGTCATAAACAAAGTTTTGGAAAAATTCCCATCACAGTTGTATTAGATAAAGATGAAAATTTGTTATGATCAGGGTTGCAACGGCATCGGAGTTGTCATAGCAACGAAATGACGCTATTAGCTATTTTACTTGCAACAGTATATCTCGGCACTAGGAACTGTTCTTCGAAAATGATTCACGGGAGCTTTTTCCTCCAATAGCAGCCTCGATGTTCGTGAAGTTTAAGCGAAATCTGTAAGAGCGTTATCGAGATATTTTGGGATAAAGTTTTTATTGTTAGGAACACAGTAAAAAATGGGCAATAGTGTTGTTTGGCCGTTGTCTGTAGAAAATGAAGCGCTTTCGACATGCAATTTCACCTCATAGTAGTTTCAATCTTTTTAAAAGCGTGTGTGAAAGATCATGGGAGATAGCTCCAGCCGATTGCTAGAAAGAAGGGTTTGATTAGTATGTATCGAAGCGCTCTTGTTAGCGGTTTTGTAAACATCTTTGTCTACTTTAACAAATTAGCGAATAATTTTTAAACCGCTCGATGGATTTTTTTTAAAATTTAAGATTCTTGAGATTAACCTTCCTTTTATATGACCTTTTAGTTTCAAGATTATTGATATGTTGTAAGGCAGTGAAATAGGGGCTACAATTTGTTACTTTTTTATCGGAAGTTTCGTCATTACAAGTGAAAGCCTCTAATTATTCAAGGCATTGTCTCCAAGTTTCATTTTCATGTGAACAGCAGTAACTAACAATGCATTTGAAAATTCAAAAATGCTAGCTATTGTTGTGCACGAAAATATGAAACTTGGGCACAATACCCTGAATAATGAGAGGCTCACACTTGTAAACACAAAATTTCTGCCAAAATATTGGCGAATTGTAGCCCTTATTTCACTGCCTTACAATATATCAATAATTTTGAAACTAAAAGGTCATATAAACGGAACGTTAATCTCAAGAATCTTAAATTTTTAAAAAAAATCTATCGAGCGGTTTAAAAATTATTCGCTAATTTGTTAAAGTAGACCAAAATGTTCAAAAAACCGCTAACAGAGCGCCTCGATACATACTAATCAAATCCTTCTTTCTAGCAAACGGCTGAAGCTATATCCTTGATCTTTCAGACATGTTTTTAAAAAGATTGAAACTACCCTGAGGTGAAATTGTATGTCAAAAGCGCTTCGTTTTCTACAGATAACAGCCGAACACCAAGATTGTCCATTTTTGGCCGTATTTCTAACCACAAACTCTTTATCCCAAAATATCTCGATAACGCTCTTACAGATTTCGCTTAAACTTCACGAACGTCGAGGCTGCTATTGGAGGAAAAAGCTTCCGTGAATGATTTTCGAACAACAGTTCCTAGTGTCAACCCTCCAAGTTGCGACCATTTTAGGCCCGGTTCAGACGCCGCTCCACTCATGTGCCGAACCTAACTGATGAATTAAGTACGGCAAAAGAGCGGCGTCTGAATCAGTTTGGTACGGCAGTTTTAGTTTGGTGCGGCAAAAGCATTAAATTCGACAGAGTCTGTCAAACGTTTGTCGAACTTAACTTCGGTTCGACACACGGTTCGCCGTCTGAATCAGATGTCGCGCCAGTGTCGCTCCAAAGTCGAACTTATTCAGTTAGGTTCGGCACATGAAAAGTACGGCGTCTGAACCAGGCCTTAGTCGCCATGGCGCCTAAAATTTTGGAACTGGCGACTTGATTTGGAGAATGGTCGCCAAGCTGGCGACCGTGAAGAATAGGTTCGTGTTATCGCGTATAGAAACAGAAATGGTAATCACTTCTACTGAAATATGAAGAACATTTATTCTAGCTGATTTGAATTCCATTACTTTTTTACTTTTCCGTTTGCTAAATTTTAAAAAGTCTCAGACCTAAGCGTTTTGAAAATGAACATAATGAAACTTGCCTTGGATTCGTTCGCCTAATCGCCTTCAGTCTGTTGCCTTGCATGTGACATTTTAACTTTTGACACGTGACAAAATTAATGGCACGCAATCGAAGCGCCTTGCTTGTCGACAGTGACGATTTCTTCGATATGTTAGGAATGCTTGTCTAGCCAAGATCGGTGGTTTTTTAACTGGACTACATATTATAAATATTTTTGAATCAATACTGAAACAATCTACTAACATGAAGAGAGAAAGCTAAATTGCTGCAAATTCAACACAGAACATTATGTGATAACCGTAACATGTGAACCGTGCTGCGAGTTGAATCGCGGGTTTGTAAACAAAAGCGATAACTGTAAGCGAAACTAAACATCGCAAAACTGACAGCTTATGGTTGCTGCAATAAATGTTTTTTTTTAAAACCTGTAGCGATGATAAAGGAAAAAGAAAATTTATTATTTCATAAGCGGCATTTTTGTTTGGGTTCCTTTCAATTGATTGGGAAAAGCATTTTTTCCCAGTACAACAACTCGTTGCGAAATTTTCACGTGCGCGTGGTTATCTCTATAAAGCATTTTGATTTAGAAAACTTGTTGATCTTCCTATACTCTCCTGCCTTTGTCAGGCTTTCGCAATGTCTAGCGATATTAAAAACGACCTTTTAAATCTCCAAAAATATTTGATAGTTGGTGAAACAAGTTCATCATCAACAAAAGTCGCAAAAGAAATGCGAAACAAATATCGGAAAAAAAAGGTCGCCTATCAAGTTGCGACCGGGACATACAGAGGATGAGTTAAGCTCTGCTCTCATATACCAACTGGGGATTATACAGAAGGACTGAAGGCCCTAAAGACAACTGGAAATGGTAATTGTCTTTACAATTCCGTTTAAGTATTGATTCAAGGAGATGAATCTGCAAACCCTATTCTCAGACTATCAGTAACTGTTGCCCTGCACAATAAACGAGCAATTTATAGACAGTGCTGCACTTTAAGTTAAACTAGCTCACTGCTTTTGTCAATGACAATTTTGATATATTAATTTATTAATATAATTTGGCGCCTAAAAATTTCCCCTGGCGACTAAACCCAAAGAGCTGATCGCCAAATGGCCACTGAACAAAAATTGTAACTTTGAGGGTTGAGTGCCGAGATATACTGCTGCAAATAAAATAGGTAATAGCGTCATTTCGTTGCTATGACAACTCCGATGCTGTTGCAACCCTGATCATAACAGATTTCCATCTTCATCTAATACAACTGTGGTGGCAATTTTTCCAAAACTTTGTTTATGGCGACGTAGTTTATGCTCAAACTTGGGAGGTAGTGGCCCTGAAAAACTGTATCGAGCCACCCTAAGATCCGAGAAGGACGACGGCGGCGAACACGTCACTTAACAAGGGAATTCGCGTTCTTTTAATCAGTTTCATCGCGATTATTTTAACTCGCTTACTTTGTCAAATTGTCGAATTATCCTGAATTTGAATTTCTAAGAACAATATTCAAAAATGGAAAGAACGTTTCGTCGTTGCTTGCTTACGTCGTCCATAGAAAGTGAAGTTAGGTTTTTTTTACGTCGTAGTCGTGCAGTGACGGCAAACAAATGTACAAAAAAATTGATTGTTGTTGTTTTGCTAATTATTTTTACTGCTTTTTTGACATTGTCGTTTCCGTCGTCGTCATCGGTTCTTATTAGGGAGCTTTAGCAACGACGACGGCGACGGCAACCAGGACGTCCAAAAAGCAATGGGTTTATTACGCAAAACAACAACTTTGCACGTGCATCACGCTTTTTTGTACATTTCTTTACCGTCCTTGCACGACTACGACGTGAAAATGCCTAATTGCAAGTTTTACGGAGGACGTAAACAAGCGACGACGAATCTCTTTTTCTCTCTCTAAACTTGAGTGCGGTCCTCAAGAAATCAACTCCAGGGAAATTCGCCTACACTTGCCATTTTCAGTAAATTGGAATAAACTCGACAAAGATTGAAAAAACGGAAATTCATTTTAAAACTGACGTTTTCGCTGCCGCTGCTGTCGTCGATGCTAAAGCTCCCTAATGACCTTTAAAACGATGGCCCGACGGACCTTTTGAACTGTCATTTTCTTTCTACCCTTTTGTAGGGTTTTTGTAGGGTTTTTTATTAGTGAATTTTAAAGCAAGCAGGCCATTATAAGAAAACCCCCCATAGCCACAATCATTTCTGTGAAAGCTCAAGAAGTATTTAATTTTTTGCAGAGTATTCGTGTCACTGCCTAACGGTGCAGCTGTGCGTTTTCTAAAGACTTCAAAAATAGTAGATGATTAAATGCCGATTTTATACAAATTCTACAGGTTAACACGGAATCGGGTGATATTGTGCCATTCAATCAGTTTTATATCCCTGAGATTCAACAGACTATCGATATCAGAGCTGACTACTTCAACTGGATTCAAAATCAGGTAATTAGAACAACAATTCCAGGACGTTCGTATTTTGAAAGAGCACTTGTGCTTCTAGACGATAACGTTGGTAAATAAATTATTGATTGATTGATTGATTGATTGAACAAAAACAACAAGGCAGAACAACAATAACAACAACAACAACAAAAATATTATAGGAAAGCCACAGTGCCATGCTACATTGCTTGCGGTCGGCACGGGGGGTACCTAGGGCAATTTTTGCTGGGTATGTGCCGCTGGCCTCTTTGAACCCCTACCCCCCAATAGTCTATTGTGTGGCCAATTATAGAGCCCATAATTAATTTTTGGGCAAATGTTATTTTTTGGCAATCCCAATTTATTCATTTTCTATCACTTTTGAAAACGCGAATCTTCCCATTTCTAAATCTCTTCTTACCTGGTTTTTCTTAATTCCAAAATCTTCAAAATGTGCGATCCCATTGTATTAACTCTCTTGAAAATGCAACCCGATGCAATCTTGGATTGAAGGAAATAATAAACATGGGCTTGCCGTTCCAATCCACCCAGAGGCTGATTTCATATCGAAATCGGTAGTTGTCTTTTGTTTACTTGATGCTCTAGTTACGAAATATCGCACCAGAATGAAATTCTCTCTTCGGTAGAGTAACCGTGGTATGTCGCGTTTGGGTATGACGGTATGACATTTTCTGGTGGTGGTATCATGTAAACAAATACGAAGCTACGAGAGGGAACCGGGATGAAATCTTGTCGGTTACATCTATTCGCCCCGGCATCCCGTGAACAGTCTACAAATCTAAGCCTGAGAAAACAGCTGACATTTCGCGACGCCTCGACTGGTTTCTCCGTGAAATGACGTCTGAGGAACGACTGCAGAAATTACATACTGATGTAGTGTCACTACCAAGATCTGGGTAGTCCTTCTGATTAGTTGAAGCAAATTTCCCTCACGGCGCAACAAATCAGAGTACACTACCCAGATCTGGGTGGTGCACGTCATCAGTGTGAAATTTGTGCTGTCGTTCCTCAGACGTTAGAGTGATTTTCGTTTGACCTTGATATGAAAACGCGCGGACAAAACAGAAACAACAAACCAACGGAAATAGAGCGAGTTTGATTGGTTTATCGAACGAATACAAACGCGCGTGGCTTTTGGTTGGTTAAGCGAACGCTCGGGTGAAAAAACTTCATGCCCGAAAACTTTCCAGAAATCAACCGATACTTCGCTTTGACGTCATACTGCAACACGATTGGCCAATCGAACAATGCCTTCTCCATATTAGGGTTTTCTTTGGCGGGAAAACGGAGAGGCCATGTTTTGATCTTTTCAGCCATTGGCTGATAAAAGAAATAACGTTCCGCTTACCGAAAACAGTTTTCAAGGTCATACGAAATCTCTCTATTTCCCGGGGTAATCGCGAAATGTCGGTTGTTTTATCAGGCTACCAAATCCTAGATCCAGTCCAGAAAAGGCCAATTCAACCTCCAGCAGTTTGCCTGCAGCTTTTTTTCACCTGCTTCTCCTTTTGTTTAGATTGTGACAAACCTTCAAGAATTACGGCACCACCTGTATCACGTGGTAGGCCTTTCATTTTCAAAAGCTCGTTCAACCAATTCCATATATGGCAGCATGCAGAGCGCCATTGCCACGTGACTTACTGCTTGTTTCAATCACAACGTGAAAGAAATGGGCCATTTCCGAGTTTCCAAACCCCTCACTTTCAAAATGAGGTTAAATGCAAAACCTGTCATGTGAAAATGAGTTTCATTTGTATAACAAGTAAATTTCATTTTTGTATCGGACTTTGCACTTATCCTCGGTTTCAAAAAGAGGCTGCGGCAACTCGTAACTCGCCTATTCAGGCTTGGCTGCGATTCAAACCTCTATTAGAGACCTTTAGATTCTAGGACGAGGACGAGGACAGAATTTGACTTGAAATCCCTATACCTTTTATACATACGTGATTTGACCTAAAAACCCTATACCCTTCATACATATTTCGGACAAGATTTGACTTGAAAACCCTCTACTTTTCATACATACTTCGGACGAGATTTGACGTGAAAACCCGATTTGACTTGAAAACCCTATACCTTTCATACATACTTCGCATCATTTTAACGGTTTTACACGTTGTATATAGCTCCTCGCGAGATATTTTCTCATCCCCAGTGAAGCCGTTTAAAAACAGCTGTTTAAGGCCTCATTAAAACAGTAGTTTTTTTGTTATTTTTAATTTTTAATCATTCTCCTGAAGGACAACATGAACAGATTACCGGAAAGCTTTATTGCACTTTTTTTGCCTCCAAAATTTGCATGGTTATTTGTATTGAGGAAGTTAAACCCTCTCCCCATAAAACTTTTAACGTTTGATAACTTTTTCCCGCCACTAATACACTCTCGCTTAAACCCGTAGCGGAATGACGACGGCTATCACGTTTTCCCGCCAAAATGACGCTGGTTCACACGCGCGCACTGCTTAGTGTCTATAAAATCTCGTTCTTGTCATTGGATCTAATAAAAGGTCTCTTATAAGTTATTCAAGCCAACTGGAGAGCAGGTCAATCGTGTGTCCATCATATACCCAATAGTGGTGATAAATAGCCTGTGTTGCAGACGTAATCTAACCGCGGTTAGTAGCGTCTGCGAAGCGGCGCCGCTATGCTTGTTCTGTGCCGCCCACGGACTTGACGAATTACCGGAAATGCATTGCGAATTTCCCTTCAACCTGATCAGCAAATCGACAATGGATTTTGTAACAGGCCAATCATGGCGCGCTCTGAAATCCTGTTGGGATTGGACAGGCATTTAAGCGCTGTTTCGCCTACAGACTTAACCAGGCCCCAGTTGTTCAAAAGGCGGATAACGCTATCCACTGGATAAATCTCTACCCGATGGAAAACGACATTGGTTTCCCTAATGCTTATCCGCTGGATAGTGATTCATCCGGCGGATAGCACCATTTAGCATTTGAGCAGCTAGAGCCAGAACTTTAGTTCTGCCTGTGGCGTAGGCTATTGATAAAAACCATGGAATACATGGCATGATTCATATTTTCGGATGAGACAGATGATTGTAGAAGTAGTCCGTATTCCTATCCTTGTAAATACCGCTTTATGTGGCCGTTTTTGTTTCATCTGTAGTTCAGTTATGATCTATTTCATATACTCCAGGTCTTTGTGTACCTCGTCTCTTTAGAAGCGTACATTTATTGTAAATTCTTACACAACGAATAAAAATGTGTCTAAATTATTTTAAGTAGTAGTATGATCATAAAGTTTGGTTACGATGGTGTGATTTTCCTTTACAGCAAACGTTTTCTTTCTGTCGTTACCCATTTGTGTTTGACGCTGAAGCCAAAACTACGTTAATGCAAACCGATGCTGTAATGCAGATGCAAGTAAGTCTAGACAACACTTAGATATGCATGTACATCCGTCAATAACTGAGTGTGACGTCAAGATTGCTAAATTTTGGCCAAGGTTTTGCCCCCTTTCCTCGTTTGATAAAGTAGAATAACATAAAATAAAATCAGTTAAGGATTTACCATAGGGGCATTTTTTTTTTTGGCGGAGATGTTACAGGGTGGAAATCCCGGAGCGAGAAGGATATGTCTACCTTGTTTGTTTGAGTGGCCAATCATAAGACAAGTCTCTTGCTCACGAAGCCAGTGCTAGAATCATCGCGTTCGTCAGAACGTTTCCTACTGTTGTTGATCCTGTGGTACAAAGCCACAAATTTTCGAGGTATCGGGGGCGACTGCGAATAAGCTGGTCCCACTGATTTTAGCAGGGGCATCTCGGCCGGGAAACTGGACTCCTTTCGACTCGATTTCGTTTCCGTAAGTGACGAACGCGGATCCGTAATCAATGATTACCTCTAGTATTTAACATAACAATAGCAGCGTACTAAAGTTTAATTGAAGGTACTGCAAAACCGTGCAGTTTGCTAAGGTAGGCTATCGCTTTTAGACAATGCAGCTAGCCAAAGCAGCTTGCACTACCGCCATGCTTAGCCATTTTTGCAATTTACTAAGACGATGTGGACGCGAAGCTGTTTGGAAACTTAAGGCGGATTTCTACTGTCGCTTAATTGGTTCGTGCGTAAGCACGTAAAGTGTACGTGCCTAAATAAAGTAGAGGCAATATAATTATGGATGCTTCCGTAAACGAAAAAGTTAAACCTCTCTCTCAACTTTGACGCTTACGCTCGGTCTTGGATGCGTTACCTCTTGTGTATGCACGTAACAATAACGCGACTGTGAAGATCCACCCTTTAGACTCTGAGGTATCTTATTTCGGGTGGTATATTCATCGTTCTCTTCTTTCTATTTATCAGTCAGCTGTTGAGGAGGTGAACCGTCGGAATGTTCGATCAATGGTGTCGCAAATGCCTATTGACCCTGTTAATCCAATATTGGTCATCGTGGTCAAGAGAGAGAATATTGTCGACCACACCCTAAATCAGATTATGAAGTGGGGACCGTATGATTTAAAGAAACCTCTGAAGGTAATAGGTAGTTTTAGCAACTTAACGATTATCTTGAACGATAAGGATAATCTTCTCACGATTATGACAAGACTATGACAAGATTTGCGCATACGCGAGTTAGTGACAAAACGCGAAAGGACTGGATGCGACTTCCGGTTTTCAAGTTATTAGATCTGGGCGCTCCGACGTCACTCTCGTTAAACATGGTTCTCTAAAAAATGTGGATGATCTTGAGGACAAAGCTTATATGTTGCATTGGCCATTTCGAAGTTGTGGGTTACGATGATTCGGTGGTGTGGCATAATTTCTGCATCAAGTGGTTCTCGTTTTTGTAAATACTTCTTAGTTAAGTTTAAAGTGTATATGACAGAAATTTTTTTATTTGCTTGATAGAATCTATACAGTGTTTTGATAAGGAAAGCAGAAACATTTTTTCGATAGCGATTTTTCTTCCCCGTGTTTTAACCTGCCAAAAACGTGAAATTTTACTTCCGGTGAGCTTCAAAACCGCGCTAGCGAAAACAGAAGACTGGGAATGATTATGACGTCATTTCAGGACATTATATTTCGCGGCAGGCAAATTACCTGGTCATTTTCTTATTTGTGTGGCAGTGTTTGGAGAATGTTTTTTGAGTTTCCCTGACCTTGTTTGATCAGAAACAGCAGAAATCAATAAAAAGTCGCTTAAGCTCGAATTTAATTGACTGTGAAAAAGAATAATGAGTTTTGAAAGCGATACGGAACAGTCAGACGTGGAATCGATCGGGTCGCGCACTCACATCTGCGAGTTAGGGCTAGGATCAGACGAAGATGAAGAAGATATGTACAATTCAGATCCAAAAGGACCGTATATAGATGAACCTATTGCAGACGAGGAATGGCTAACAGAATACAACCGAGAACTAGAAGAAATTGAAAGGAGAAACCAGGAGTTACAAAACCGCTTTGAAAGGATTGTCGAACCCGAGACTTGGTAAGTGTTCGCTCTATTTCTCACCTTTTAATTATTAGCCTGAAATCTTATCGTACTAAGATCATCACTTGCCGATAAAAAGAAAAGGATAAAAGTTGTATTCTTCAACTTAAATACTACGTTCCTTCTTTTTAATTTCAAAGGTGCTCATGTGGCAATTGTGCTCTTGATCGGCTCCAAAATTTCGGGGAATGCCTCTGCTGCAAGGAAATCGAAAAGTGCGTCGAATCACTTGGTAGTACCGCCGTTCTGAATGAGGTGGAAATCGGTCCCGAATGTATTACATTGCATCCAGGTTTCAGTGTCGTTTGCCTTAACAGATGGTCTCTCCGATGAGCCGCAAGTAAATACAAAAGGATAGACGGTACAAAGTATCGTCAGACTGATAGAGAAGAAAAGTGAGTAATGTTTTGCCCAGTTTTTTTCTGTCAGAGCTAATTTACTGTGTTCTCCAAAAGCAACGTTAGCCGGCAAAAGCGCCCAACAGTTGCAACAGAAGCAGTGGTTATTTGTTCAAACACCATTTTAAGAGAAAGATAATCAATTGATTGTTTTTGTTGCCCATTATTTTGTATAATAGAGAGATTTTACGTGACCCATGAAACAGACAATAAACAGCTACAATTTAGAAGACAATAGAAATAATGCATGATAGCGTGTTCCATTCTACTACCTGTTTAATCGGTTGAGTAGAATCACTATATTACAAAAAACATATGATAAAGAATAGAGCAAAATGTACTTTGCAGAACCCCTAAAATCAAACGTTTCTCTGGGCTTGGGTGCGTGTGTGTATGTGGGAGGGGGGGGGGGGGGGGGGTTGCCAGCCACACCAAACCCCACACAAAGCATTTTGATCTCATCTTTTGCTGACTACTTTCATCTTTTCTTACTCTGCTCTACTCTTCAACCCTGGTCCTATTTTCAACTATATTCGATAGTTGATTTGATAATGTTCAGTTCATAAGATGTTAAAGAAATGGGAATTTTAGAGACACAAAGGAAGGGCACGATTGGAATAGAAATGCATCTGCCACTGGTCATGTGGTAATACTGGGCTCACAGAGTTGAAATACAGGGCGAGGTCATGACTTGAATATTTATTTTTATGTCTTCATTCTTTTGCACAGGTTTCTTCGTGGAGTAGCCTACAGAGAGTTTACGCAACTATATGGTTTTCTTGGGGGAAAGCGGATTCCACTGCCAGCATGTGCTTACCATGCAATAAGAACAGAACTTTCAGAAGAGAATGAAGAATTTGTTGGTTTTGAAGATAATGAATAAAGATATTGCCTTTATGACCATCATTATTTTAAAATGCAAATAGCGAAACAGAGTGCATTGACAAATTTTATACTAGTTTGGACTAATATTGACTCAAAACATCAGCCGATCGCACAGAAACTATCTGTATCTTAATTGTCTACAGTGCGAGGGTGACTTGAAATAATGGTGATGAAAATCTCTCCCAGTTTGTATTAAGCAATTACCAGCCAACTTATTGACTTTGCCTCAAAATAAAAAATAAAAAGGTGTGCTATCACTGTCCACTGTTTTTGTCGTGCCTGGTTCCTTGGACAATCAACTAGAAGGTTGTGCCCTCTCATGGGTCTTTTGCAAACAGTGCAATTCCTTGGTCTTCCTCCACTTGATGACTGTGCTGTAGCTGCAGCTGCCTCTTGGGCAAGAACAACAGATACTGCAAGCAAAATAGGAGAAATATGTTTAGTCCACCTTCATTGCTAATAAAATGATAATAATATGTAACAATAAAAATAATAATAATAATGGGAACTTTATTTGTTTTTTTGAATGTACCATTGTAAATCTTGCTACGTATAGGCAATTTACAAATGCTGCTTGAGATTGGATTATTAAAAAGAAAAAAACAAAAAACAAACAAAAGCCAAAAAAAAAAAAGGAATCAAAATTGCATTAAGTCTGGGCTATCCCAGTTCCTATTTCTACAACAAAAGATGTAATATGTTGCTTTAATGGCTATATTTATCATTTTCTTGATTATAACAGTAATATTGATAACAATAAAAATCCCTAGATGTCCAAAAAAAGAGATTTTCCCAAAGAAAAAAGTGACTTGAGAGGGGCAGAAGGCTCAGCTAGCCTCAGATAGGGCTGTGTTCTAACAGCACATGGTGACCGCTAGCACATAACTTCTGCTCTACGGCGACAAGAAAATCTTAGAGATTATAATATTATGCTAGGCATCCTTGATTTCACAAGTTCAGGGCACTGGGCTCCCTTCAATTTGTCTTAGAACACAGCCATGATTATGGATTTTGCAGCCGATCAAGAGCACAATTGCCACATGGGCACCTTTGAAATTAAAAAGAAGGAACGTAGTATTTAAGTTGAAGAATACAACTTTTATCCTTTCCTTTTATCAGCAAGGTATGATCTTAGTACGACAATATTTTTTAGGCTAATAATTAAAAGGTGAGAAATAGAGCGAACACTTACCAAGTCTCGGGTTCGACAATCCTGTCAAAGCGGTTTTGTAACTGGTTTCTCCTTTCAATTCTTCTAGTTCTCGGTTGCATTCTGTTAGCCATTCCTCGTCTGCAATAGGTTCATCTATATACGGTCCTTTTGGATCTGAATAGTACATATCTTCTTCATCTTCGTCTGATCCTAGCTCTGTCTCGCAGATGTGAGTGCCCGACCCGATCGATTCCACGTCTGACTGTTCCGTATCGCTTTCAAAACTCATTATTCTTTTTCACAGTATTTCTGCTGTTTGTGATCAAAAAAGGTCAGGGAAACTCAAAAAACATTCTCCAAACACTGCCACACAAATAAGAAAATGACCAGGTAATTTGCCTGCCGCGAAATACAATGTCCTGAAATGACGTCATAATCATTCCCAGTCTTCTGTTTTCGCTAGCGCGGTTTTGTAGCTCACCGGAAGTAAAATTTCACGTTTTTGGCAGGTTTAAACACGGGGAAGAAAAATCGCTATCGAAAAAATGTTTTTGCTTTCCTTATCAAAACACTGTATAGATTCTATCAAGCAAATAAAAAAATTTCTGTCATATACACTTTAAACATTGTAATTAGTAATTAGCTAACTTTGTAATTAGTATTAGATTAAGTGTTGTAATTAGTTATTATAAATAATGTAACATAATCATTGTTCCTGAAAAGCCCCTTTGGGGAGGTAACAATAAAGAATTTATGTATGTAATAATAATGATGATAACAACAACAAAAATTCAGCTTCTTACCGTATATCACGGGTTCTTGTATGCAGTTTAGTACTGTATTCAAAGATCGGACTTTTTTTGGCAGGTTGTGTTTGTCGGCGAAGAGGGTGTAGATGCTGGTGGTGTTAGGAAGGTAACATTATGTAACATTCATGTGAATGGTTCGTCACGCAAGGGAAGGAACGCGTGACCAAGCCCTAAGAATGTCTACGTGGGAGACTACATTCAAAACCGTTGGAGACTATAAGCAGTGATTAAAGACGTATATTCAATTCCAAAACGCGTATTTCAAGGGAAAGAATCGTTTCGCTGTGGGTCCTCAGCCATTTGGCAAATGTGAAGCTCTTCGTCAATTCTAAGCCATAATGATTTAGACCCTGAGTTTTGGAGCTGCAGGTCAATGTTGTTGTTCTATGCTACCATCCAAACTAAACAGGTTTCCTTTTATGAACTTTATCAGGGTTGTGCTCTAGCAGCGCCCGGAGGCCCCTGACCCTTACTTTTGCTCTTGAGCGACTAGAAAATCTTATTATTTCGTAGAAATCCTATGCTCTGCACCCTGGATTTCACAGGTTCCGGCAGAGCAGTGGGCTCCCTTCAATTTTTCTTAGAGCTCAGCCTGGTATAAATTCAGCCTTTTTAAAAAAAAAAAAAAAAACTGTTATTTTCTCCTTTTTAAACTTCGAATTAATCGGAATGTTTTTATTCAATGTATTTAGGAATTCTTTCTACTGCTTCTGACTGAGATTTTGGACCCCAAATATGGCATGTTTACATTTATTGAAGAATCAAACACTATCTGGTTTAACGACTTGGTAAGATATATTAGAAACATAATTTATTTTAACGTTAAAAGCCGACGTTTCCGTATCATCATGACACCATTCTCAAGGCAAAATGAATAAGTAATGCGAAGATTTGATTTCTATAGTCTCTACAAATTATTATGCTAATTTGTAGAGACTATAGAAATCAAATCTTCGCATTACTTATTCATTTTGCCTCGAGAATGGTGTCATGATGATACCGAAACGTCGGCTTTTAACATTAATATTCGCTTGCTTATGTTTTAAGAAATCGTTATTGATCAATAATTTATTTTAACACATTTATTTCCCAGGAAAATCTAAAACCAAAGTCGAGAAAAAAAAAATCAAATGCTCATAAGATTTCATGTCAGAACCATGTGCAATGTTAGGATGTATATAAAATTACTGCTCAGTTGCTTTGAAAGAGTGGTCTAACAGTAGGTTTTCATCCTGAGACTAAAAAAACTTTAAAACATTTTGTACTTTATAATAAACAGTACCACTGAAAAGTAGTGCTCAGTAGCTTTTAGAGGACGGTCGTAAGAGGATTGCAGCCATACACACTCAAACGTTTCAGCATATATATAGTCATAAAGAAAGTGCTGGTCGGTATCTGATTATTCCTTAGTTATAGTATGAAAGAATATGTCAACAATCATGTTTTGTTTTCTTGCAGACGTTTGAAGAAAATCCAATGTTCTTATTGATTGGTGTTATTTGCGGTCTTGCCATCTACAACTCTACCATCATCGATCTGAGGTTTCCGCCTGTTTTATACAAAAAGCTTTTGCGAAGGTAATTTCAGTACTTATACAGCCATGTACTCTTAATCTTGTGATGGGGTATCGTAAGTGAAGTCAAACGTTCTTCACAGAGTCACCAATGGGACAGAGCTACGTGTTCCAAAGATACCCAAACATAGAGGGTTGATCGTGCTTCAAGAATTGGCACAAACAAAAGTTGTCGCGAGATATCAGTGGATTGGCAGCTTGATTGACAGCTTTGTTCTAGCAAAATAAATTGAATCTACCTTACACACCCTCTCTTTGCTCGGCTGAGGCACACTTTGGGAATCCCAGCGGTGCCAACAGTCGACCTTCGCTTTTGAATTTATCGTACGCTGTCATTTTTAATTTTCTGAGGTCATTTTCATGGTTTTGGTCGTTATTGCGTACTTCTTACCAAAAAAATATATATTGTTTTTTCGACAAGAATGGCCTGTCGAATGTCTCCACGCTCGCCTTTCTTGGACTCTGTGAATAATTCAGTCACTTTTGTATTGTATTGGTTTGTTGTGTTTGTTTCTCCCAGAAAGCCAAACCTGGATGACTTCAGAGGGTTTAAACCGTCAATTGCTAAGTATGCATTTTTTAATTTAAATTTTTATAATTATGTATAAAATCAGTGGCCATGTCGCACTAGTTCATTGTCATGCACAACCCGCCAAAACTTGACATCAGATGCATCATTCCTCTTCGCGTTTTTACATTGCTCCTCGGTCTTTGATAATCAGAGGAAATACTCCGTTTTATGTTTGGTATATTACTTCTCTGTGTTGGAATATTAGATGGAAAACTTGTCCTCATGTAAATATATTACTAATCGGTGTTTCAATATCAGTTGAAACAGTCCTGGTTTTGATACACAGTTTCTCAGTGGCTGAATATCAGATCAAACACTCCGCTCATGTATCATATATGTCATGTCTCTGTATTGGGATATTATAGGAAATACTCCCTTTTGTGTTAAATATATTTCTTGTCAGTGTTGTAAAGTCACATACAAAAAACATTTATTACTCCTTGGTGTTTACATATCAGACGAAACTCCCCTTCTCGTCATTGATTCTTAATTTCACTGCCCCTAATGAAAGATAAAACAGTCTTTCAGTGTTTGGCAAGAGTCATGCAAATAGCCACCGGTTCTGCAAAGAAAACGTTTAAGCCGAAGCCACGAATCGAAAACGCTTCAGTGTATAATCATTGAGAACACACACCTCCTTCTTATTTTTCTTGGCTTATTCCATTACAATCAACAGAAATCTCCAATATTTGCTGGATTACCCTGACGAAGATGATATTGTTGACGCATTTGGTCTCAATTTCCAGGTAAGCTTCGTTGTCGTTTTTTCGTAATCTTGTTCTTCGTAGAATAAGTGCGATCGTCAACACCGAATAAACTTCTTTTTTTTTCTTTTTCTGGTTCAGAGATGGTGTTTGGACATGCTATGATTTTTTAAAGTATAAGACATTCAAAAAGTTTGTAGTGTACTTTTAAGTTCCAAACAAGCACAGTTATCTTCACGACATGTTTTCCTTGGTAGAGTAGGTGGTTTTACCTGTTGTTAAGCAACTAAGAAAGTTAGCACTCGACTCGACCTCAGCCTTTCCAACTGACTTGGTGTCTGTTTTTTTTAGATCGTCCGTGAGAGATACGGGGCACTAGAATATGTTGATTTGATTCCTGATGGAGGAAACACACCAGTTAACGCTGAAAACAGGTATGTGACTGACGATAACGAAACAGCAAGTGTTAAGGGTTTAAAGGTTAAAGATTTGTTTATATAGTGGAAAGTGTACTTAGCTTATCCAGCTAGCTTACAGGCACACCACTCAGATAATAAGAAATAAATAATCCTAATATAAAAGGATTAAAAATCACACCTGGCAGGAGGCAACCAGTTAGCTGTTTACACACATGGTGAGGATCTGAACTCGACACGACCGAGAACATTAATTCAGAGTGTGATTACAGCGCGACTCGAACCCGGGACCTCCGGATTGCCAGACGGACGCGCTAGCCACTCGGCCATGCTGCCTCCCTGTCTGATGCTTTTTCTCACCACAGACCCGTTTCTCCAAAGTCTCGCTGGCCCGAAAACCTAAAGAACAAAAGCGCGGTTCCCGAATCTAACAAATCGGTGCATTATTTTGCATGCTGATAGTTCAGTCATATTATCTGCAAAACTATTGAAAGTTCGATTTTGAATGTAAAAGACAACAGCTTTTCGGACCCGATGAAAATAGGCCATTTGAACGATAATGTCATTTTACTACTATGAGCAGATGACAGAATCCTTAGGGGGTTTGCTTTCTTGTTTAAGTTAGGGCTTTTGTGATTTAAAGCTCGCTGGGATTCCCAATTTAAATTTGAAAGGAAAAACGAAAAGGATTGTGGTCGTAGTAGTGAAATGACGCCAACGTGCAAATGGCCTATTATTGGGAAGCAGGCCCCAGGAACCAATGAAAAAAAAGGAGTCACTTCAAAAGAAGACTGAAAATGATCGTTCGCATAAGCTCCGAGATGAATAGAATTGTAGTGAAAATGATGTGCGCTTCGACAACCTGTGCGGAATTTGTTGCTTGACCAATGTTTTCATATTATATTTTTTGCGTCAATGTTTTTCCATCCGTCCTGCTACCTTAACAATAGAGAGTAAAACACTCGAATGGGAACATCCATATCATCGAATAGGAACATCCATATCATCAGCGTTAAAAGTAACTCTTGGCGTCCCACAGGGATCTATTCTCGGGCCCTTGTTATTTAGTTTTTACATGACACCTAGACAGTAGATTTAAAAAGAGCTTCGACTGGGCAGAGATCATTTTTCTATCGCGCAATAGTATATAATTAAACGTAAACATCGTGCCCGTAGGGAACTTTGGGCGTCTATACTTTGACTTATGTAATGCTTTTAGGATCAAATCTATTAAGTTCATCTTGATAATTTTTCTTAGTTTTTTAAGAGTACTGTAATTAGGTTTTCTTCCGATAATTGTAAATTAACATTGAAAATCCCAGTTTGGGACATGTTTTAAATAAACTTATCGCGTTGTATTGTATTGACTCCCCTCTGGGTTTTCCTGGGGACTACAATCAATCACACTCGAACTACATATGTACCTTTCCCCTGTCTAGTGACTGAAACATTTTGTGACTCATCAGCCAGTTGTGTCTCTTACTTGCTTCTAGACAGCAGTATGTCGATGTGTATATTGATTACTACTTAAACAAGTCAGTGGACAAGCAGTTCCAGGCTTTTTCGATGGGTTTTCACCGAGTTTGTGGTGGTAAAGTCCTGGTATGTTGATGATAATTTTGTCTGCGTAACATTGATATATTCGATGAGTTTGTGGTGGTAAAGTCATGGTATGTTGAGGATACTTTTGTTTGTATAACTTTGATATGCTCGATGAGGTTGTGGTGGTAAAGTCATGGTGTGTTGAGGATACTTTTGTTTGTATAACATTGATATTCTCGATGAGTTTGTGGTGGTAAAGTCATGGTATGTTGAGGATACTTTTGTTTGTATAACATTGATATGCTCGATGAGTTTGTGGTGGTAAAGTCATGGTATGTTGAGGATACTTTTGTTTGTATAATATTAATATGGTCGATGATAAACAATGTTGTTATCACCCGCCTTATCCCTTTAAGCCGCAATTTTCTCCAAACTGATCTCCATACATTTTGTTAAAGAATTAGCTAAGAGAATTTGATAAAAGATTAAAGCATCATTTCTTTTATTTCATTTGATTGATTATCATAATCGTTTCTCTCCATATGGATACTGACGGGGGAAAATTGTGTCCAGTCCAAACGGTTGTATTACGATGCCACAAAGGGCTGAGACTGGACATGTCTTCTCAAAAAGGCAACAGTCTTGGACAGAATTTAGTATTTGCCATGTCACATAACAATTAGATAGGCCATTGTAACGCCTAATTTAACTATAGTACATTCTCGTGTCTTCCTGTCATCGATTACTAGGTTCGTTTGAAACGAGCACTTGAAAAACTCTTTTCCAAATTTATGCTGGAATCAGTGGCCCCAGAAAGGAGAAGCTAAATATTTTCGAAAGCTATTAATTATATTCTACAAATCGAAGTGTCGTATGTTTTTGTGCTAAATCATTTTAGTGTTTAATGGAGTGGTGTTTGGTTTTTCTTTATTCTAAACATGACAGGAATTCTTTCATCCTGAAGAGTTAATGCAGATGGTAGTAGGATGTCAAGAATATGATTTCAAGGAACTTGAAAAGGTAACAGGTGTTATTGTGGTGTAACGATACCGTAAATGCTCGTGAGCAGTTAGGCTACGGTATGCTCACATTGTTCCAGATATCTTTGCGCCGACACGAAAACTATTTGGTACAAGGCTTTTGTTCACACATACGGTCGGTGATTTTGGTGCGAATTTCTGTAACGGAGCGAACCTGCGCCGCTCCGATCGTGCCAACTTTCCTCACTTGCAGCCAATTGCTGAATTGCGGAGGAACAAGAGAGGTGAGATCGGACGTCAGCATGTAAAGGCGCCCTCTCGCAGCCACGTCAGTCCATGTGTTGATCACACCTCGCCCACCCAGACCGATGTCGGCACAAGTCAGATAGACCATGACATCGGGGCCTACGTCCCCTACTCATTTCGAACAATGTCATGGGTTCTTTTACGTCCTCTTCCAACTGAAGGGGATCGTCACATATCATACAGGTTTCTGCCACCCTTAGTCGCAGTGTGAACAGGTATTCGAACCGTAGCGGAAGTAACTGCCTAGGACCCACTGAGACAATTGAATATTCAGAAGTGCGGATTGGGATTTAGTACTAGTACTAGTACTAAGTTCGATGTGTGGGAGAGATTTGCTCTAGTTCTGCGCCGTTGCCTTTCATACTCTGGGTTCGCCAGTCTTGAAAAGTCCTTGAATTTTAGGGGAAATACTTGGATTCCATTTTTCCTTGAAAAGTCCTTGAATTTTCTTCAGCTTTGAATGTAGTGGCCTGGAAAGAGTTTTCTGATGTTTTTGGTTGTCCGAGACAGAATATAAATCATAGCTCAGAGAATTTAAAGGTTATTTACACAAAGTGCTCTATGTTTTATGCAATAATTAACTATCAATTTAAGACAAGTGAACTGAAAAATGTAGAGAAGTTGGTGAAGCAAACGGCTCAAGCCTTAAAGTCTTATTAGAATAGACTGGGAATGTGCATTTTCGTATAACCCTGATACTGTGCCAGATAGCTTTTCTTGTCTTCCCAAAAAGCTGTTCGGTATAGTATAGAAATAGCCTTACATAGAAGGAAAGGGCGAGAGAGGACTGGGAAAGGATCCTAACGAACCACAACCAGAGGAGCACCCATAAGGTGAAATCTGCGTCCATTTGAATTTCTTTCAGCTGTTGCTTCATGGTTAAACAGTAGGCCCAGTTGACTTTCTTTTCTCCTGAACCTGTTTTGCAGGTGGCTGAGTACAAGGGGGAATACTACCGCTATCATCCTGTCATCAGAAACTTCTGGGAAGTGTTCTTTGAATTTCCTGTTGACATGAAGAAAAAATTTCTTGGTAGGTTTAATGTACGATCATCATAATCATCATCATCATCATCAGCAGCAGCACCAGCATCCTCACCAACACCACCACCACCAACACCATCATCATCATCATCATCATCATCATCATCATCATCATCATCATCTTCATCATCACCATCATCATCATCATCATCATCATCATCATCATCATCATCAATCAGCTCATTATTCAAAATCAGCCTCATTATCCAAACTCTATTCATAAGAGACATAGATGTATCAAAAGTTTAACACGTCATCAATTATCAATTTCAGATCTGGTGAATAATACACAATCAAGATGGTAAATGAAAAAGAAAAAAAAAAAGTTGCAAATTAAATAAAATCGTATTATAAGTTATAAAAAAAGCATAGCCTATATATTTGATGGTACAGTTAAAACATCGCAAGACCCAAACATCAGCTGCATTTCTTCTATTGCAGTATATGCTTGTGAGATACAAACGAGCCTCCTCATTTGCTAACTTATCCTCCAATGTTTGGCATATAGTCTGATAAGTAGAAAATGGCCGTGAAAGTTACCTACTCGCAAGGCCTTTTAACCACTAACAACTTAGCGTCTGTTTGCATTTACAGCGTTTTTAACCGGGAGCGATAGAGTGCCAATCTTAGGAATGAAATCTATGAAGGTAATGTTGTGTTCACGGAAGTGTACTTGGAAGATTTTTTTTTAGATTCAGTTTTTGGTGTTGTTCAGTCCAAGACTTTTGGCAGCTTAAGCAACAACGACGGCGACGGCTACGAAAACGTCACTCAAAAAGTGAAGTCGCGCTGCTTCAAACTTTATCCCGCTTATTCCATGTCGCCTAACTTGTCATATGTGGGCAATTTTTTTTGTAGTTGATTTCTGAAAGACTGTAACAAAGTTCGGGAAAAGAAAAAGAAAGTTGTTGTCTTGTGTTCCCGTCCTCGATAAAACGTGAAAATAGGCACTTTCACGTTGTAGTAGTACAACGACGGTTAAGAAACGTACAAAAAAGCGTGATGCACGTGCCAAGTTGTTTTGCTAATCTAACCTATTGCCTTTTTGCCGTTCCCGTGGCTGTCGCTGTCGTCGTTTCTTAAGCTCCCTTTTTTCACTCCCAGAACCAATCATGCAGACATGTTCCGTTGTTCTGCTTCTCAAGGGTAGCAATGAAAGCTCTCTTTTCGCATGGGCCCTTCAAAAGAATGAAACATACCGTGCATGATGTTAGGCTGATAGAAACTGGTTAAAGCGCTTTGTCTTGTGTAAGTTAACACTTACACGTACGAAGTAACGTCTTGGTAACTTGAAGATATGCTTTGCGTCTCTCTCACAAAAAAGTTTCGTATTATCCACTCCCCTCGCAGCTTTCCAGCGATAATTTACAACGTTGGTTGGGGGTAGGGGGGGGGGGGGGTTGGGGGTGGTTGCCAGGCGCGTATTACAAATACTGAAGTATGAGAAATGACGCTCCCTATGTGAGTTTGAGTTTCAGATAAACCACCACACCGGGGACTACGTTCCCTACTCTTTACGAACAGTGTGTAAGTTCTTTAACGTTCCACGAAATTTATGTGTGCAAGGTTTGTGAGACGGGGCCTACGGTTTATCGGCCTTAGACGATAAAGTTAAATTAGACAGTACAGTGCTGTGCCTCTACCCCGTGATCAGAAACGTTTTTCACATATATTGCAAGGTAGCAGGGGTCACAATCTTATCCCTTCAGTTATTCCCTCCAACATGTATTTGCGATGTGTTTCCTCACAGATCATAATACAACCAGTTGCTGGTGGCATGCACGGCGATCACCTCCCAGTAGCTCACACTTGCTTCAATCTACTGGATTTACCGAGATATCCCTCTACAGAAATGATGAGAACCAAGCTGAGCCAAGCTGTGGAGTACTCAACAGGCTTTGGGCTTGCTTAATTTTGTTATCTCGCAATATCAATCCTGTAGCTCATGAGTCAAGCCCATGGAAAGAAGATGAAAAGAAAGAAATGAAATGTGACATGACATTAAAGAAGCTGTTGAAATGTCTTGTGGGATGATATCCTTATTCCGCATCATGTTGCTGACTTTTTTTTCATAGCAAAACCAGATGCTGTCCCATGGTTAGGCGCATCACATTTGTCATTGAAGGTTTTTCTTCTATGCGTGCAGCGTGTGTTTGCTCAACCATAGTGTCTTGAATAGAATGGCATGATGAACTGGAAGGGATGTGGAGAATGTTATGTCACATGTCACTCAAGAGAGAAAAGAAAAAGCTGTAGCTCCTCTACTCTGACGAGAAAAAAATATCACAGAATTTGAGGCTTAGTAAAGAAACCTTTTTTCTCTCCCTATTTAGCTTCAAAGTAACAAGAAAAACAACACTAACAAATACCATCTTAAACCGTACTCCTAGGAAGAATGGTGGCGTGGATGGAGAACTAGAAATAGATTGGTTTGACTTTTTTACTAATAAAGGGGCCAACACCACTGACCTCCTTTCTGACGTTATAAGACGTTGGCCTCCTTGAATGCTAGAGAAGAGCCGCTGTGTTATTGAACTGTAAATATTACGATGCAAAACCTGATTTTCCACCCAAGAATCAAGATTTCTCCATCAGGGTGAGCCTTTCTTGCACCCTGGTGGAATGACAAGGACGACATGGAGGCACTCAGAGCATGTGTCTGGAAGTGTCTCTGCTTTCAGCCGAAAATAATATAACGTTTTTTTTTCTGGGAAGGCCAAAAAGGATACCTTTGTAATTATTGAGTGACGCCTTATCTCTGCTCTGATCAGAAAGTATGAAAATGTATAAAAGAAATGGCAAGTTTTCAGAATATATCCCTACAAACCATGGTTTATAGAGGAGCCTGGTTTTGAAAGCCGGCAAACGTCAAAGTTGAAAACAACGGTGCTGTAGTTTATGTTGGAAGCTCCCTGACCGTGCGTGATCTTAATGTTTTTTGTTCACAAATTCTAACTGAATAAATTCATGCGATGTTTCTATTGGTCAGTAAGTTCAAAATGATAGGAATGCTGTTGAATGTTGCGCACAGTCAGGTCCAAAACGCTAACTACAAAAACATATAACAAAGGAGTCTAACAGGTTTCATAAATATTCCACTTTAGTAACTATGTACAATGGGCGAATATTTGTTGAAAGTTTTACCTCTATTGTTTTTCACGCTGCCAAAACGAAGCAACCATAATCTCTACGGGGGCAACAAAGAAACTCTGCCAGTTTGCTTGTTAAACCTTTTTCTGCACAGTTTGTAAATTATTTGGCAAACAATTTTAGGGACGTTTTACATGTAAACGTTGATTGCAATTATAACTAGTTAACAATCTTTACTTTGTTGATCGAAAAACGATTGATACAGATACCATGAGTCAAATTGTTCTAAACGTTAGGGAAGTACGTCGTACAAAAGATACGTTAAAACAGCTGAAGGCCTTTTTGACTTCCGTCTCTTTGAGAGGCGCGAACATAGTTTTATCAAAGTTGTAATCATCCTTCTCAGGTTAATTAAGGCATGGGCCTCAATTTGCCTTAATTTGCTCTCTTCAAAAGTGGTGGTCTATATCTAAGAGCTTTAGATGAAGAGACATAAAACTTTGCCAGCTAACCACATTTTTAGATTGTGTCAATTTGTGCTTTAAAATTATGCAAATTAGATCACGTCACCTCCATCGGCTGAAAAAGCTTGTTCTTCAAACGGCAACACTTTTTCGTGTGTCTTCAATTATTTTACCGGTTGCATAATGTTAATGCCGTTTAATGTATCACTTCTGTGCTTGGCCTTTTTTAGATATTTAAAATCGAAGGCGTTAAGATGGGATACAATTGCTTTGGGGGACTGGGTCTAGTTGAAAAAGCCGTTTATTTTCTAAAACAGTAAAAAATTCAAAAAAGGCCAAGCACAGTCTTGTAGATGCTTGCATTACACATTGTCCTAAACCAGTCCGGTTTAATAACTCAACAAAAAGTGTTGACATTTTTTTTTAAAGACTTTTTATTGTTTTCTGGCCGTGTGGAGTCACGTGACAACATTTGCATAATTGAACATCACCTAATTGACAGAAACCACACATGTATGTATCTGGCAAAGTTTCATCTTTCTACTGTTTACGTGCTCAGAGATAGACCACCCCCCATTACTTTTTTACTGCATTATTAGGGACCCATGCCTTAATTTACTTGACTTCAAGCAAACGTAACGTACACGAAATAGGGAGTCAAAAAATAGAAATATAGAGAGTTTGTGCGGTTTCTTGTGCATGCATTGCTGCCTTAATTGCAGTTCAGCGACAAGTATCAACTCTCTTTTGTCCTAAGCTGTAAGATCTTAATGCCATTTCACAGTGGTATATTTTTGTTACTTCGAGTAAAGTAAATTTGCATTTCGTACTGAAGCGTTTGTCTTAGTAATGGCTCTCAGATTATTAATACGACACAGGCTCACAACAATCCTGGTCATTGCGGAGAGAACAATAACAGAACTAAAACTCGATGAAAAAGCGCTGAAACGACCAAATAAGCTAAGACAACACCATGAATAAACAAGGAGACAAGGTTTTTTCCTTAGATTCAAAGTAGACAGACTGCAAATTATAGTACATGTCGTTGCTAAAAAATAAACCTACGTGTCCCAACTGTTCATCACTAGGATGCCTAAAATGCGTGCAATTCCACAGTTGGTTTCGGCTTCATTAAATCCTATACCAATTGCAGAACATTTTAGGAGGAGCCACCCGCTGTGTGAGCACAGTCGCGGACAACACATATAAGTGAGGAAAATAACGCAAAGAAAAACTAAGACGTTATTAAACGAACTAAAAGTACACGCGACTTAAATAAGTAAATAATGTACGCGCCCAAAATTAAATTGCGCGCGCACACTCGTACCAAGACACAACTGAAATAAAAACTAAATAAATAAGCAATGTAAGGATACGATGGTGCAATTAAGCCTGGATTGCTAATCTCATCTCCCGCAGGGCTGCACCATACTTCCCGACGATAAGACAATGGCTAAAATCCCCACTCAAACCTAAATAATATTTCTGTTACGTATCAACGACCACTCGTGAGCTTGGGGCACCTGTGGTTCAATGCCCCTTTTCGTGATGCTGAAGATATTAGAGGATGTTAGCATCAACAACGAGTACGAGAATGACTTCAAGCCGTACTCGTACTCGAAGTCGTTTTCTCAGCTTTCTATGTTAGCGATGACACCGAGTTCGAGTTTATAGAAAATAAAATTATGGGATTCCGCATGACTGGGCGCCAAATTTGAGTCGAGGTAGCGGTTCCACAACAATTTAGAAAACAAAAAATGACTCTAAAAAACGTTCAAGACTGCTTGTTAATCGATTTTTCGAGGTAACTCGAAGGATGGTTAGTCGCGGTCTTAAGACACGCTAAAACCCATCAAATTCAACACAACAACCACGCTGGATAAAGAAGTAAGTATTCTTTATTGATATCTTCGACTGTTGGGATATTTTCGACCAAATAATGGCAATTTTCGGGGTTATTTCGTGAGCCTGTGAGGCCTTTGGAGAGACATGAAACTTTCCCGGGTAAATGCAAATTTACTCTGTGTAGGAAATATCGCGTTCGGTTGCTTTTCCTCGACTTCAAAAGTAGTATTTTACATAAAACATAGTACAAGGAATGTTCAAGATGATAAAGAGAGGCTAGAAACGAAAAGAAACTGCATTAAACGATCGGAATTTACCTTTGAAAACCAGCTCCTCCCAGTCGTTCTACCCACTTCGAGTTTTTGGTGAGAACTCGTCGTAGTGCAACTTGACAGGACGACTTGAAAACGTGGAGATGCGCAGAACGGATGCGCAGTACGCAAAATCGCTGATCTCGTTCTAGAACTCGTACTCGTTGTCGATGCTAACATCCTCTATTGCTCAAGCAAGGGAGAGATAATGCTGATTGGTCGATTGTCGTGGTGATGACTTGTAATACTCTACTTACATCTCAAATACTACCGGTTGCTATGACAGCACAAAGTAACAAGCCATTTCTTCCAGAGACAAACTGTTGCTATGCTTTCCCTGGCGCCAAAATATTTCACAGTATGTATATATTTTAAAGTCGGTTTCTATTGTGATCTTGACGTAATAGTTTTATGCTGCCAACAATACTGTTGCTATGATAATTCTGACGCACAAGTCAATTTTGCAGAGACGGCATTTTTATCACAATCAAATAGTAGTGTTAATAATGATAATAATAGTAATAAACACCATTTGACTGTCAATGTATTTATAGCTCGAAAGTATTAACTGACGACCTTGTTTTTACCTCTCCTATTGGATGCGGGGCCGCCATTTTACATGCTCATCCGAGCCAAGCGAAGGTCTAGCCGTTTGCAGGGCAAAGGCAGTACCTTCATTTCTCAGTTATTTTTAATAAGACACTGAGAATTGATCCGACCCTTTTGGGGTCGAACCCACCTTCTTCCTCCCTGCAGTTTAGCGCTCTTAGCCTACCGCGATTATTACGTCGTTCTGGTGTCCTTAATGGGAAAAAAAAAAAAAAAAAACATTTAGTATCCTAAGGCAAAGTAAAAACACCTTGTGATGAACATTTGAAAGTTTTTAAAGAAGGTCATTTCTTCTTTTTTTTGCGGCTAGAAATCCTGAACAAAGCTGAATGATCAGTTGTCGTGGTGACGAATACCATACTTACGTCACAAATATAAGTTGTTGCCATGACAGAAAACTAGTTACTATAGCAGCCCTATGGTAAGCCTTTTCTTCCAACGACAAACATATCTGTTGCTACGCTCACCGTGACGAAAAAGTATCCCACTTCGTGCCATTGCCATGGTGATTTTGATAGAGTTTACAGTTTCTAAGCGTTCCTATGGTGAATTTGACATAATACATTTATGTTGCTAACATTTTGGGTTTTTCACAGTTACTAGGGATTTGTTGCTATAAACAACGCGCCAAACGGGCATTTATACCTCAGTTGACCTCATGATTAACCGACAGTTCCTTCTCGGTGTTAGCTCGAAAAAATCAGGTACCATGAACTCCTTTGCTCAGCGACAACGGAGAAAAATTCTTCCTCGCCTGTTGTTTAAACAACAAAGTTCCAAGAAATGTAACTCCCTCAACAATAATGTGAATGAAAGGAAGGACCCAGAAAACAAACCATCAGTTGAAATGACGGAGAGCAACGTGATATTGCTTGAGCAGATCAAAATCTGCCGCACTTTAGCCAGAGCAAATGCGACAACCATATCAAAGAAACGAAAAAGGAGTCCTACACCTGAGGAAATGGCCATTCGAAGGCAGAACCTTCAACGCATCTTTGATCAGAGACGAAGTGCTATTTGCGAAGAAATTGAAAGAACTTGGTTTCTTAAAGGAGCATCGCTGCAAGTACATCGACGTAATTTGAAATGTACTTATGAACTCCGCAAACGCGGTCTTGCTTTAGTATAATCCATTAAATAATGTATGCGTATAACTATCTTTTTGGCACACACTTATGACTCTCCAAGGAGCTTCAAAAGTATTTGCTTGAAATGTAACACAGCCAGGTTTTTAGTCCAAGAAATTAGCTGCTGCATGTGATTTAATAGGCTACTTTTATATCTTTTTAGTTTTTGGGGTCCGCCGTAATTGGCTTTAGCTGTTGCAGTGTCCCTGCCCAAATATTTAAGTTATTATTAGTGTATTGTTACGTTCTTATTTACTAGTGTTTGCATATCTTCAGTGTCTTTCTTTTTTTTTTTTTGGTATTCTTCGGGGCAAAGCTAATAAAATAAATAAATAAAACAGATATCACAAGCCGAAAGATGGACAAAACCAGGATAGGGCATACAAGTTGGATCCAATGGTCTGTCGACGACTCAAAAATATGTAAGATGTAAATTGTGATTTTCATCAGTTTTTTTTTTCTTTTTTGGCGAATATAATGAACGCTTTTTGATACACTGTCTACCTTAGAGATTATGTTATGTAATATTCATTGTTTTTGTATGTATATGTAAAGTTCACACAACAACTTTATTTATTTGGTAGATCGCGCTTTACAGCGATGCTTCAGCCGCAGTTGTACCAAATTGGAAAATCGTGCTTTTGTGTTCAAGTTTGCGGAAAGAATAGAAGACAACACTCTTTGATTTTATAAATGAATATCGTTCAAAACCTCTAGTGTGTTGTGTATTGAGAAGTCGGTTTTTGCAATTTAAAGTTTGCCAGCAAGATATAATCGTTAAAATGAGCAAAATCTGTCATCCCTGAAATTAACGCCTTATAAAAACGCTGTTTTAGGATTCCTTTAAACGCAATAAAGGAGTTTATACACCTCTGCAGAAGTGTAGCTTAAAATGTCGTGGGCCGTGTGTTCGTTGGTGTGGGTGGGGAAAAAAAATGATAACTTAAAGTAATGATAAAAAAATAAATATAAAAAAGTTGCAAAATATTTATGAAACGGAAATCTCCGACTCATTGATTGCCCTTTTCACGGCTTCTTTTTCGTCCTCTTCCTTATATTTCCCTAGCCACGTGGGACTTGGGTCCCCTTTCGCAATATCACTGTATAAAAGACATGTTGTTAATGAAGATTTATCCATACCTGAGCGATCGCCGCAGAATAAACGAAACAGACGTAAAATATGTCGAAACGTGCAATTTGCAGAAAGTATGGGACAGCTCTGACTCGCTGAATGGAAATAGCTGCTTACTATATTTAATCTTTATTCCGCGCGATTTACACTTCCAATGAACAGCGGAGATTTTTTAACACAATGGAATGCGATCACCGTGGGAAAGGGGGGGGGGGGAAAAAAGAACAATTTTGAGGTATTTCATATTTTTGGATACAAGTCTTTCTTAAAGATGTTTTTGGTCTATTAGTTTACAAAAGAACCACCTTCGTGCTCAACCTTTCAAGTTAAGGCTAGACTATATGTAAATTTTATTGCCGTACTAAAATATCATTTTCTGGATTCTTTTTTGTCTGGTGTTTTTTACAAAATCTTTGCTGTAACGATTCTGAATATCATTCCTTAAACTGAAAGGACGTTTCAGTCACAAATGTTGACATCTTTGAGAAAAAGACTAGTAAAAGCAGTTTAGTCTCTAGATTTTCTTTAGCCTGCTTCAGGTTTACATAGTGTACAGAGTTTAGTATCCTTTTGTATCATAAAGGATTCGCGTATTTGCTTTGCTGACCGCGAGGAAGGGAAAAAGGACTCCTGGTATGTGCGCGGAGATTTTCGTTTCATGGATTTTACAAGTTTTTGCTATTCAATTTTTCAATTTTAATATATTTTTTGAAAAACCTTTTTTTTTTTACCCACGACCGACGAAGCACGACCTCTACCCACTGCTTAACAGGCTACATTGACAAATTCTCGAAATGTTGAGCACGTAATAAAAGACAACTTTGTCAGTTATTTTCCTCGGTTCATTGTATGTTACACAAAACGATTCTTCTTCACCAAAAC